TGTTGAAGGTTCAGGGAGGGCCTACGCCTCAACATTCTTTTATATGTAGCCACTGACCCTATCAAGGTCTTTGCCCAATTTTCATAGCAAGAGAAGGCGGTAGAAAGGGTCTTGAGTTGAAGGGCCTAATAGTCAAGTGAGGTTACGGGGCATTCCATGAGTGTTACCAAGCCAACGAGGCCATCTAAGACCCTGAACAATAGGGCCAAAGATAGTCAGGGTTCGTGAAGACCTCCAATAACATAGTCGAGGAGGATTGGATAGAGTTTGGATTGAATGGTAGATCCAAGTCCAGGATGAGACCTCTGACCTTAGTCTCTAGATCCAGTTTCAGTGATTCAGTGAGAGTCTTCACTCACCCTATTTGTAACACCCTCAGAACGATGCAGGTGACCCGATCTAATCTAAGGTGTCACATTAGGGTCACCGGAACGACCCACAATAAAAATCTAGGAAAATTAATTTTTTTGTTAAAACATGTAAAATTATAAACAATTATAAATAAAATACAAGTTCAGAAAACCATTCACATATTACAAACATAATTAAAATCATACAAGTTACATACTTAGTATATACAAAAAATCAAATGTGACCTATATGCCCCCTAATTACACATTGTATCGTACTTTGCAAGAAAATGAACTCCCAATGTTAAATTTGATAGTTGCACTGGATCGATTATTTTAACCTGAAATGGTGAGTAAAGAGTGATCTTTGGGAAGATCAGTAATACATAACTACCATATGAATGCAATAGGCCATCGGATATAAGGTAAAACATAAAATTCCTTAACTGGACAATCATCATTAGATTCTAGCAGTGAATTCAAATTTCATTAGTTAAGTCTTCAATTACAAACATGAATTTATAGTCTGAAGGAAATATTCAGAGAGAGACATATTTAGAAGATTGAAATTGGGAGTCTAGTATGTTCCAACCAAAATAGATAAATATGTACAAATCCTTTAAAACATTAGTAGTTTAAACAACAATATCCTCCAACTGAACACTGATATGCAGTTCCCTAGAACTTCATCCATAAGGACTTACACTAGGCCCATTAGGCGTAGGTACCAACCTAAGGGATCACCTTGGGTTCATAAGGTCTCGCCCTACCCGGAGCGTAGGTGTCCACCTGATGGGTATACCTTCAGGCCCATAATGACTTTCCTAATGCACACAACAGAGGAGCCACCCTAAAAGAGTATATTAGGGTCCATAAGGTCTTACCACTAGGCTCACTGGGCCTAAGATCCCACCCAAGGGTTTTCATAGGTCCATAAGGAATTACCAGCTTGATCGGTGTTGAACCTGCATGAGGAATTACCAGTTTGATCGGAGCTGAACCTACATACTCCATATCCTACCCAAAAAATATCCCAATAATCGATTCATACAATAAACAGTAGATTCCATGATCCATAAATTAGGAACGATTATATATCCAGTGAAAACATGTAACCAGAGAACACATATCATGTAGCCATAGTTCATAAAAAGTAAATCAATACATCAGTAAATCTGTAATTTTAAAAAATCGTATTTTAAAATAGGTAAAAAATTATATGGCACACAAGGAACACACTAGAGGATCTATTTATTTTCTGGAGGTACTTAGCAATTATCAAGTATAGCGGGTGGAATACGAAACATCTGCAAACTGATTGAATTTCAGAAATGATATCCTTATAAAAAGGGGGTTTGATAGCTAACGAATTCGTCAGTCATTAAGGAAGTGATTTATCAAGATCATATTATTAAGATATATTAGCAAGGTATTCCGAAATTATTGCATCAAAATTTATTTAGGATTCAGACATTACTAAAGTGATTCCATCAATCAAGCTTATAATGGCATTTTAGCCATTTAATTCTTGAGAAATTTGATAAATCAATTTCATAAGAGTATGCAACGATTTACAAAATTCTCAAATTTCTAGCATCTTAATAGGCTTCCAATTCCAATTACACTGTAAAAATCCCAGCAAAGACAATACTTATCAAGTATGTAGGTAGAGAAAACTTCACAAATATTCATTTCTTAAAATTGATTGTACTGTAGAATCAAACTGATCACCATCAGAACCATATTTGGACTAATCATGAGGTTACGAATAGGTGTTTAAAAGTTATTTAATTGCGTATCGTATTGCAATAGTATTAGGGATGTTTGACCTACTTAGGTCGTACTCTATAAACCTCGAGGGTGTTACCGCATTTAAAGTTTCACTGGTATCTTCAGAAGTTATCCATTTGCTCAATCCAAGTCATGGGGGTATTTAAGTCATTTTGGTATTCGATGTTGATTTATTCATTTTGGAGCTTTAGGGTATTAGTCATTCTAGGGCTTGGAGGTATTTGGGTCATTTTACACTTTAGGAATATTTTGGTTATTTTACGATTCAAGGGTATTTTAGTCCTTTCTTTCAGTCTAGTCTTTCTATTTAATTCAATTTTTCCAAAAAATTCAAACATAAATAGTATTTCTAATGTTTTAGACTTTAGGTGTTTGCTGATAAATCAATAATTCTAGGTCTTGTACCTTCTAGGATGTTAAGATCTAATTATCAGTGACTTTCCAAACAAAGAACGATAATTTGACAATAAAAAACAAAGATCGATAGCTTTTACCCAAGTTCCCGACAATGACGCCAATTTGACAAAGCGTCATTTTAATGTTAAATAATATCCTTAATCTCAAAAATAGAAAATAGTATATAGAGAGAGTAAGGGTCGATCCACATGGACTAAGAAAGATATTGATGTAGATTGCTTTTGATTCTTGAACTGGGCGAAAATAACAAGTAAAAATGGGGGTATTTGACAGAAAGATTTGCAAAGAAATTAAAAGAATTAAAGAAAATTAATTTTAATTAAAATTTTAAGATGATTAAAAACCTCAGGTTAAATGCCGGTTTGAGTCTGCAAGGTTCAATCCTTGTAGCTCACTTTTCTCTTTGGTGATTGATTTTCCCAAATCTATTTTAGAAATCTCAATCCTTGTTCGGATTAACTGTGACTATCGTTGTTAACTCAAAACATTTTAAAAGCACTTGGAAAAGCTCGACTCGAATTATGTTTTCTCTATGAAAGTCGAACTCGATTTCAATTTCCCCTTAGCGTGTTATCGCTAAGTGTGTTCAAGGGAATTCAAATAAATTGATTCTATAATCCCAACGACAAACCATAATAACATCCAAGCTAAAATTTATTTTTAAAGTGAAAGCATTTTGATTTTAAGAAAGATCATCCGTCAATCTAGTTTCCAGAAAATTGAGAAATTTGACCCGAAGTGTATGAGGTGCTTTTTAATCCTCACGTTAGGAATTGAGTTATCACTTTAGCCTTTGACTTATTAAAAAACTTAGCTAAGCATGGTAGAAACCATACTTAGCATTTTAAAAATAAAGAAAATGTAAATAAAGAAAAAAAATAACTTTTATAAAACTAGAGAAAGAAAGAACAATTGAATCTGAGATAGCTTATCAGGCTTACCCCGATGGGTATTTATAGTCTCTTGAAAAACCCTAAAATAATATTAAAAATCCTAAAATATAATTCTTGAAATTAAATCCTAAAATTAAAGATAAATCTTAAATTTCAATTCGAATTTCGCGGCTAAGTCTTTTGTCTTCACGCAACTGCTGACTGGACCTTCTATAAGATGCTGACTTGATTACATGCTAGCGCTTTCATGCACGATTTCATGCCCACTAGGTTGCCCATGATTTTGGAAAAATAAAAACTGTATAACTTCGTCTTTTAAGTGCAATTTCTAGAAGTAAGGGTCTTACATAGAAAACAAGTAGAAACACCGAAATAAATAACAAAAGTTAATGAATAAGGAGAAATTAACTATAAAATATTAATTATTTAAAATATTAATCAAGGATGCTGACGTGATGGTCCACGATGGTTGGTGATGTGATAGATGAACTAAATTGATTTTTTTGGTCGAATTCAAAAGTCAAATTGATTTTTTTTAAAGTTCAAGAACTTATTTAATTTTTTTGTAAAATAAAATATTTTAAATCTAAAATATAATAATATTTAAAAAAATTAAAGAATAAAAAATAAGAATTAAATTACTAAAAAATTAAAAATATATCTATTCTTCACCTCGAAATTAACTTGACTTTGTAGAATTGTATCTAATAGAAATTGATTAGATAGGTCGATTTTTCTATTACTTTTTTTTGGATCAAGTTTAGGTGAAGTTTACTTCCGTATATCATATTTTAATATTCTCTAAAATGATTCTTTTAATTGTATAATTATTTTTATACTTTTTAATTATATAATTTATTTGATTTTATAATTTTTATTATTTATAAAATTTTATAATATTTTTTTTTATTTTAAATAATAAAATATCACATCAATAACAATAACCTAAAGAATATTACGTCAATAAAATTTATACAAAAAATCACGTTAATTTCTCTTGAAAAGTACAAGAAATTGCTTATAAAGAAAATTCGACCGCAGGGTTTGAAGCTGCGCGGGCGTAGCCGGACAGAATACAAATTTGTAACCTTGACCACTCGGACATATCCATGAATGTATTTAGCAGAAACAATTTTTTATAAGTTTTGTGCGATTCAATAGCTGCTTCTGTGGGAATGGTAGAAGGTTGTGCAGTATATATATATACAAGTGAACGAAACAAATTGCTGACAGGATGTGCAAACACGTCGAAATGCTGAACCTTTATCTCTGCATGCAAATCGACATCTGGATATTCTCATTTCCCAACACGTGTCATCTTCAACACGCTCTTCTCTTTTTCGTTTTGCGTGTGTATGCGTTACATTCCGATCAAAAGCTACTGCTGCTGCCTCATCAATGCCTTCAAACTATTCATCCATCATCTACCATTCTCAGGTATGGTTTCTTCTCTTTCCTTTGAGGTTCCTTTTTTTCCTCTTCCCTTTTGAATCCTAATAATCATATACTTTTATTACTTTAGTTTCAGATTTGGGAATCATTTTCACCATAAATTAGTTACAATTTCAGATTTCTACAAAAAAAAAATGTTAGATATTTTGGATTTTGTCATGCTCCATTTTGTTTAGCAAGAACCTAATTTTCTTAAGGCTTGTTGAAGTGATTCTAGGATGGATGACCCAGAATCTGAATGGGAAATCAAAGAATCATCATCAACAGATGGAAAACTAAGATGGGTGGTGAGATTGGGTAGAAAAATTCTGGTGACTGGAATTGTTGTATCATCTGCACCGCTTATTCTTCCTCCTATAATGGCTGTTTCTGCCATTGGGTTGGTCTGTTCTGTCCCTTATGGTGTGTTGTTGGTAAGTTATGCTTGCACCAGGACTTTAATGAGTTGGTTACTTCCGATGCCTTCGCCACCTGCCCCATTGTTGTTGCAATATGGTAAGTCATTTAATGGCGACGACGAGTTAATTGAGGATAGAATCGAATTGATTTACAAGGGACATGAGGCACTGGAAAATGGGGCTGAAAATGATGGAAAGGAATCTGTTCAACAAGCAGATGAAATTGCGGAGGAAACCGGGTATGACAAAGATGACTTGAATGAAAGGACATCCGAATGTTTCGAGGAAGTTAAGGAAATGACAGGATTGGAAGTAGAGCAACCTATTATAGAGGAAAGTCAGAACAAACAGCCAGCAGGCATTAAAGCTCTTGTTGAGGGGGACGATAAGTGCGCCAACAATATCGAGAAGGAAACACTGCTGGGATATGAAAATGTGGATGAGAAAGAGGAATTAGCAAGAGACATGGGGAAGGATGAGAATGTAGATGCACCGAGAAAGCGAAGAAAGAAGACCAAGTCTAAAAGAGGATCATTTGAAAGATACAGAAAAGAGGGTACTAGTTTCCATCCAGCAGAAGTTAAGCAGGGTGTGGAAAAAGAACAAGTCGATTCCAAGTTAACAATGTCGGAAGGGGACGAAGGAACATCGAGAAGGAAACATGAACAACTCCTTATGGAAGAAAGTTTGACAGAACAGCCAGTAGACGATAAGGTTATAGGTGCTCGGGGTAACCTAAAGGGAAGGGAGAATGACAAGGAAACACCTCTTGATGTTCAAAATGTCCCTGTACAGTTATTTCAGGCCATTGATGTCGAAGAGAATGAGAAATTAATAGGGACAACTGGAGAACAATCGAACGAGGAAGAATATGTTAAAGATGGAAGTATGAGTGAACAACCAATGGAGGAGGCCTGTAAAATTGTGGTTGAGTTTGAAGGAGATGGGAAGAATGATATCAACATGGAGAACGAAACACCGTTTCAGATGAAAATGGCAGATATCCATGTAACACAGTCTACTGATATTGTAGAGGACGAAGAGTTAGTGAGGGAGAGTAGGGGATTATTAGAAAAAATCCGAGATGGGAGGAATAAATCTGAGGAAATGGATGTTGAGAAAAGAGCTCAATCAATGGGGTCAGTTTGTGAGACAGCGCAGGATGATAGCATTGCAAAGTGGCTTACAGTCGAAAGTGATACAGTGGTTGGAGGACGACAAGCTGAGGATGTTAAACCAAATTATCAACTGAATAAGGTGAACGAAGATGTGGTTCTTTCCTATGAAAACGAAAGAGAAATCAACGAGGAACAAGGGGTTGGCCTGTTAGGAAAGGCAAGTACAGATAGTCTACAGGACTCCCCCCCAGAAGTGAACACTGAAGGTAGCACTTTTCAATAGTTGCTTTTCAGCTTTATCTTGTTTCATGTTTTGCTTTTGTTCGCAAGGTTGATTGTGATTCTCATAATTATCCTTGAATGCTGCATATGCAGAAAGTTGGCCTTCATCGACTTATTCAGTTCACCAAGAAGCTTCTGATTCTTCAGATCTTCCTGTTTCTACAAAGGCCGAGGGAGCAGAAGGCATACGAGTTTCTGCAGAAAATGCCATTGATGTCGCTTCTGATGAGGTTAGGCCTAATATTATTTAGGTTGCATATCAATAATATTAGGCTGCGTATCAATGTAACTATTACTTAATATATATATAAGGAGGTCCGAATTTTCTATCCTTATATTTTGTTCTTTCAAAATGTCCTTAAGCGAGCAATGTGTGTTGGAAATAAAACACTCATACAAACAACTTTTATTGAAACTCAAACAAATATTACAAGAGTACTCTCACTCAAAAACAAGAACTACAACTCACTCTTATAAGACTTTGCTTCTTCACTCACTTAGAAGCTCTTAATTTTTCTTGATGCTTAAAACTAAAATGGGAAGGGGTATTTATACTACTCAAGAACAATCCTACACCACACAAATAAACTAATTTAAACCATTACAAATTCAACAAATATCTAACTCTCACCTAACTAAATTGATGTAAGCAATGACATCATTAATTAAATGATATAAGCAATGACATCTTTAATTAAATGTAAGTAATGACATCAATTTAGTTTGGGTTTGGGTTTAGGCTCCCATAATGGATCAAGTTTATGATCCAACAATGTGGTCTTCATTTTGTATTTTATTGGATAGGTTCTTACGTACTTCAGAAAAGTATAAAGATCCTATATCAATAATATAGGATGTGAAGGCAGTTGATCGAAATGTTCTTATTACTTGCTACAACAGTCATAGTTTGAACATTAATTAACTTGTCAGAGCATGTATATAGCTCTGTTATGTAGGGTAGTTCATCACATTGATCACCTTAACTACTATTTGACTGCAGGCAATACAGCATGAGGAGAATATTTGGGAACAGATGAATATTCTGAGAACAATAGTAGGGTATAAAGCTGAACAAAAAGAAACATGCATCGAAGAATTGAAAGCTCTCTATCTGTTCACTGGAATTGAGCCCCCGGCGTCTTTGTCCAATGACAGTTGTGATCTTGGTGAAGTCGATGTGAAGCTCGGGTTTCTCAAGTCAGTCGTTGGAGTCAAGTAGGAATGCGGTTATTTTTATGGACTTTGCTTTTAGACGCTTTATTGAAGTTTAATTTTCTAATGGTGTTTTAGTACTTATTTTTGGGTTATAGTTTTAACATTCTGAATCAAAACTAAGGGGTGTAACCAAAACATCGTCCTATGGAAAGCTTTCCTGGTTGAGGTATCGGAGTCCTAAGCTATTCGTCTTTTTTCCATTTTCCGGGAAAATGTTTATAGAATGCTTTTACCGCGCCATTTTCCGGGAAAATGTTCATAGAATGCTTTTACCGCACCTGCTACTCCGTCCTCGCCTTCCATGTCCTTCGCCAACTCAACAGCACAAAATTTCACCTGCATGAAACCCGAAGAATAACAAACATCAATCGCTTTACTCCTTAACTTCCTTTCCATTGCCTAAAGAGAAATCATGTTACCTCCGGATCTAGCATAAAGTGAATGGCATGAACCAGCTTGTCAAGTGAGAACTCTTCGACAGGAATGGGTGCAGGCCCTACTCCTCTGCCATGAACTCGCTCTCCCCAAAAAGGTTGGTCCCCAAAGAAAGGTACAATAGTTGTTGGACACTATTCAAACGTAAAACTGACTTTAAAAAAGGGGAGAAACAATCAAAATGATATGCTCTTGGAGATGGCAGGTTACCCCAGCTTTGAGACCAGCAGCAGTAGTCCCAAGTTCCCAACTCCACCGTGATGGACCTGAGGAAAAACATGTAACAACAGAACCAACAAGCACTCGAAACACATTAATACCTAAACTCCGGATGAGGTATTATATGAGGAAGCGAACAACTAATAGGTCAAGCTTATACTAAAAGGAAGAATATAATGATGTATACAGCTGATGTAAGCAAAAATGTAACAAAAGTCAAATATAGGAGATTCATTGAGTGTTTTAATAATAAAAAAATATTGGGTTTTGAACAGTTATATTTATAACGTGAAAAGAAATATCGGATTGGAATAAGTATATTTGTAGGGTATGTATCGTATTATCTAATCGTAAAAAGAGATGTCAAATTTAAACAGTTATATTTATATGGTAAAGAAAATACCGACACAGTCATATTTGTATGGTAAAAGAAAATATCAGATTTAAACAATTGTGTAGGTATGTGTCTGTCGTTTTAAATAGAAAATGAGATGTAAGAAATTGAAGATAATTACTATAGGGATAGAAGACAATAACAACTTTGTGCAAAATCATTGAAAAAAAAATAACAAAATAAACACACCAAGGAAAAAACGTGGATATCAATTCACAAGTTCACAGATTCTAAAATGGAGCAATTGTTTCACATAACTCACTGTCCGTACGTATAAAGTGTAGTAGTGAAATAAAAAGGACTGATCACATCAACTACCCAGAGAGCTCCAAGGTTTATATTTACAACTTACAACAGCCACACAATGTGAGAATAACCAGTCATGGGGGCAATTGTCCAGTATGTACACAAAGTCCTTGTGGTTCTGCCACTGGTAAAAAAAAATGAAAATTAAGCGCTATATATCTACACCCATAAACTGTCCAAAGAATATAGTCTCTTAAAACTTTCAGATCAAACCAATGAGATATGAGAAGAGAGCAAGTGGGATTACAATTGCCAAGACCACCCCAGCCTTTGTTTATGATGCCTCTTTGTCCAGTTTTCTCCAGAGCTTGCACTATTATCTGGGACATTCTTTCAGGTTCCTCAACAGGCTGTTAAATATTATAAACGGTGGGAGCATTTTAAGGTCAACATCAATAGAACATGATAATGAAAAAGAAAAAAAAAAAATAGGGTGTTTCTTTTCAGCGAGCAATAATGGAACAAAACCTATGTTCCTTCTTCTGCCTTAGAATATTCACATTAACGTGTTAAGTCACAAACTTTATGCTAATTTTATAATTCAAATCCTTTCTTTCAAATTCAAGTTCCCAAACACAACCTAAAAAAACAGTTTCTAGCAAAAAGAACATCGAACTTGTGCGAGAAGAATAGACCATAACAAGCTTCATTATACTAAATATTCAAACAAATGAAAAGATTTGTAGTGGAAAACTCACGAGACTACCGAAACCAATATAGATAGGCATTTTACCATCTTCTAGTCACTTAACAAGTGAATCTGGTGGTTCATAACATGAAGCAAGGTCGAGGAAACAAAAGCCAACTACATCTATCTTTGGCCCCCAGTCTGCAGGAAGGGAAATCATATCAGACTTAAATACTTCAAATTTGCAACCCCAGACTTCTGATAGTGTCACAAAGTATCTCAGTTCTCAGGCATATAAACAGGTAAAACAATAGACAACAGAATACATCACACAGCTTGTTAGTGCCATTGACTGATTTATATCTCAAAGCAAGGAAATAGTTTATCATCACTTCCTTTTGGTAGTATGACATCCAACACAACTAGTACTAATATGGAACTCGAAGAATGTATTACATAAAACTAATGGAACATTAGCAGATAAGTCTGCTGTATGGAAACTAAAGGAACCACTTTTAGTAGATGAGAACACCATGATATCAGTTATATTATTCATGTAAAGAGGAAGTGATGAAGCAAACTCTCATAAACTACGTGCAGGACATATAGAAAGTAATAGGAACGAAAATACCAACTAAAGGTAGCAGCTTTCAGACAAATCAACAGAAAGCAAGGCCTAGAAGAAAAGGGATCAAAAGAAGGGTGAAAATCAAATGGCCACATCATTCCCCCGTTTTCTACAAAAAAAAAAAGAAACGGAGAGAGATAGTGTTTCGTATGTGTGTGTGTGCACGCTTGCACTCATGCATGTGTGGATGTGTGTGTGTGTGTATGTATATATTATACCCATTATCGGGCCAGAATAAAAGTTCAGGCAGCACTGATCAACCAAGAACAAGAAGAAAGTAGGGGCAGGGGGTGAAGAAAAGTTGTATCTACCAGCTATTTTGAGCTGTTTTGACATATTCTCTAACCAATATTTGTTCTGTTAACCTTAATGAAACCAAGAGAGGAATTAAACCCGAATCCCATTTTTCTTTATAACATCAAAGTTATCTATTCAGCTTTTCATTGTGTTAACCTGATGCCATTAAGGCAAACAAAGCAACCAAGAATTATGAAACTGGAGTCACTGTGTTTTTCTAATTTACTCAACAAATGGCTCTATGTCTCCTCTTGTCCCCACAATAATAGAAAATGAATATAACCTGTAAACGCTTTCCGATGGCAACAAATGGCTGTACATCTCCTCGTGTCCCCACAATAAGCATTACTATTTGCAGTGGAGGAGGTATGTCTGGAATATATTCAGAGTCAACATGCTCCTCTGAAGCTTCATTGTAAATTATATCAGTTCCAAAATCAAGTGCATAGCATTCCAATCATAACCAAATAATCAATGGTAAATTGGTGAATGGTAAATAATGCATACATAGATAACTATATTAATGATTGAACAACCTATATAAAAATAAATAAATAAAAAACCAATTTACAAAAGAAAAATGCCAGAAAAAAGAGTAGCTAAAGAAACCTGAAGAAATAGCGACGCTGGGGAGATCACTGGAAGTAAAGATAGAGTTCAGACCAATCGGCTCCGGCAACTCTGCCATTTCCTCAAAGAGAGTATAAAATGAGGGAGATTCCAGTGAAAACCTGGGGATGGAAAATAGAAGAGTTGACAATGGGAATACCCTGAACTGAAGAAACTATGGCACATGGCTACTGAATATTTGAGTAAATTACTCAAATATTACAGTTGAATTTTTTTTCAAAGTATAACAAATGCTAATTTATTTTCAAATCCAAGACACTTTGAACAGTAAATTAAAAGATGGTTTGAGTATTTTAGTTTTTCGAATAAAACATTAGAGACAATGAGTTTAATCAGTTTATAATTCGTCCTCTTTGCTCAATAAAAACAGTTCAATTGCTACAGTGTAGACGATGAATGTATAACCTGTCTTCATTGTTCACGAAAAATTACAGTTTAGACGGTTGGTTTACAACCATCTTCACTGTTCATAGAAAAAATTATTGTTTTATTCTAAGGCAGTAGCATAAGCCAACAGGTGCAGCATCAATTCAGGCTGGGCGGCAGTGCAGTCTTGACAGCGGTGCAGGTGTAAGAAAGGCAAATTAGATGCAAGAGTTTAAGAAAAAAATAATTTTTAATAAATAAAATATTAATACTTTTTTTATAATATTTTAACATTAATTATATAAAAACTCTTCGTTATCGTTATAATCTTTAGAGTAAATTACGTATTAAATACATAAACCATCAATTTGGTTTGTTATAGTATCTAAACTTTTAATTTATTCAAAATCATACTTAATGTTTAGTTTTTATTTCGCTTTAGTATCACAATGTTAAAAATTTAACACGTTTAGTACTTAAACTATCAGTTTTGGTCCGTTTTAGTATTTAAACTTTCATTTTTTTTTTCAAAACTTAACGTTAACTTTTGAACATAAATACTAAAATGAAATAAAAAATAAATTTTAGGTATGATTTTAAAAACCTAAAAATTTAAGTACTAAAACAGACCAAAATTAATAATTTAGATACATATGCATAATTTACTCTAAGCTTTATTGTTGCCCGTTAGTTAAGTATACCACATCAACAACTATTAATATGATAATTAATATTATTAACATTATAGTTCACATGTGTATGATAACATAACAAACGGATCTAATTAAATTTTTTAGAATATTTGAAAATTTATTTAATATTTAAGTAAAAATTACAATATAAATTTTATTTAAAAAATTTTAAAAGGAAATATTAAAAATTAATTAAAACAATAAACAAAATTAATTTTTGTAGAAAAAAAATTATAAAACTAAAATATATATTGATTTATCAAATAATAAATTATTAATTAGAGTAATTTTTTTATATACGGGTTGTGTAAACTAATTTTTTTCTATTAATCTAAGATGATTATAAATGGTAATATATGTTCTAAAAATACAATTATTTAACAATAATCTCAAATACCCTGCAATCATTTCTATTCAAACATGGAACTTCTAAAAAAACAATCGTCCCTTTAACCTTATATTTGAACCTTATATAAAATCTAAAACCCTAAATTCCATAAACAATAAGATATAAACCTAACATGTATATTATATAATTTTTCTACTAATTATTAAAAATATTAAAAATAAAAATTTCCATTATGAAGGTCTTTGATCGTCTCTCGTCATAATGAATCTGATTTAATCATTGAGAAATACAAGGTCAGAATTTTCTTATGGTGTTAACTTGCTAGAATAGTCATGGTTCAATTTCAATTTAATCGATGTCCCTTCTCTTGATCTTTCTAAAGCATAGATTGAACATGAATCAACTTGTCAGAGAATGTATGTAACTCTGTTTTGTAGGATGGTTCATCACACTGATCACAGTAACTACTATTTGACTGCAGGCAATACAGCATGAGGAGAATATTTCGGAACAGATGAATGTTCTGAGAACAATAGTAGGGTATAGAGCTGCAGGAAAAGAAACATGCGTTGCTGAATTGAAAGCTCTCTATCTGTTCATCGGAATCGAGCCCCCCGGCATAGTTGTCCAACAACACTTGTGATCTTGATGAGGTCGATGCAAAGCTCGGGTTTCTCAGGTCTGGTTGGAGTCAAGTAGGAATGCGGTTCATATGGACTTTGCTTTTTCGAAGTTAAATTTTCTTATGGTGTTTGAGTACACTAGTAGTACTTATTTTGGGTTACAGTTTTAACATTCTGAAGCAAAACTAAGGGGTGTAACCAAAACAACGTCTTATGGAAAGCTTTCCTGATTGAGGTATTGGAGTCATAAGTTGTTCGTCCTTCGATCGTTTGCCGGGAAAATGTTTATAGAACGCATTTACCGCACCTGCTACTCCGTCCTCACTTTTCATGTCCTCGGCCAACTCAATAGCGCGAGATTTCACCTGCATGAAACCCGGAGAATACCAAAATATCAATCTATCTCTATAGGCAATACTTGAAGCAAATCAATCCATAATCCTTCTAGGCAGCTGCCAACTATGTAAAGTTTTTAGTTGTCCCTTTCTCTTTTCTAAGGTTTACATTATTGATTAATCATAGAAAAAATCTTTCGACTTATACCCTCTACAAACCTTTTTCTTTTATCTTGATATAATGTCAAAATTAGCTTCTACCATTTATTGAAATGGCTTAAGCGACCTTTTTCTTTTATCTCGATAGAATGTCCCTATTCATTTCCTTTTGAACATTTTGGCCTTCAACATTTTAATTTAGGACAAAATACCTATGACGTTTGACTGAATAGTCACTTTGAAGTCAAAGTCACTTTCATTCTTCTTTTTTCTTTTCTTTCTTTTTTGTCTTCAACGTTTTACTTTGGGCAAGAAACCTTTATTTTGGAGCGTTAAATGTTCTTTTCCTTTTCTAATTTCAATCCAAACACTACCTAAATAAAAATCATGTTACCTTAGGATCGAGCATAAAGTGAATGGCATTAACCAGCTTGTCAAGTGAGAACTCCTCGACAGGGATGGGTGCTGGCCCTATTCCTCTGGCATGCACTCGCTCTCCCCAGAAAGGTTGGTCCCCAAAGAACGGTACGATAGTCGTCGGACACTGTATTCAAACGTAAAGGTGATTTTAAAAGAGTGGAGAAACAATCAAAAGCATATGCTCTTGGAGTTGACAGGTTACCGCAGCTTTGAGACCAGCAGCAGTAGTTCCAGCTCCACCATGATGAACCTGAGGAAAAAATGCAAGCATATTGTTAGAACATAACAAGAGAACCAACTAGCACACAAAACACAATAATGCTTAAATTCCAGATGAGGTATTATATATGGAAGGAAACAACTAATAGGACGAGCTTATACTATAAGACATAAGATGATGCATACAACTAGTGTAAGCAAAAATGTAACAAAAATGAAATATATGGAAATTCATTGAGGGGTCTCAATAGTAGAAATGTTGGGTTCGAACAGTTATGTTTGTATGATAAAAGCAAATGTCGGGTTCAAACAGTTTCGTCTACAAAGTGTACGTCTTTTCAATAAAAAATGAAATATAGGGAACTGAAGACAATAAAAACTAAGTGCAAAATCATTGAAAAAAAATTAACAGAACAAACACTCCAAGGAAAAAGTGGATATCTGTTCACAACTTACCACAGCCGCACAATGTAAGAATAGCCAGTCATGTGGGCAATTGTCCAGTGTGTACACAAAGTCCTTCGGTTCTTGCACTGGTAAAAAGATAATTAAGCACTACATAAACTGTCCAAAGAATATAGTCTTTTAACACTTTCAGATCAAATCAATGAGATATGAGAAGAGAGCAAGTGGAATTACAATTGCCAAGACCACCCCAGCCTTTGTTTATGATGCCTCTTTGTCCAGTTTTCTCCAGGGCTTGCAGTATCATCTGGGTCATTCTTTCAGGTTCCTCAACAGGCTGTTAAATATTAAAAACAGTGGGAGCATTTTAAGGTCAACATCAATAGAACATGATAATGAAAAAGAAAAAAAAAATAGGATGTTTCTTTTCAGCAAGCAATAATGGAACAAAACCTATGTTCCTTCTTCTTCCTTAGAATATTCACATTAACGTGTTAAGTCACAAACTTTATACTAATTTTATAATTCAAATCCTTTCTTTCAAATTCAAGTTCCCAAACACAACCTGAGAAAACAGTTTCTAGCAAAAAGAACATCGAAATTGTGCGAGAAGAATAGACCATAACAAGCTTCATTATACTAAATATTCAAACAAATGAAAAGATTTGTAGTGGAAAACTCACGAGACTACCGAAACCAATATAGATAGGCTTTTTACCATCTTCTAGCCATTTAACAAGTGAATCTGGTGGTTCATAACTAGAAGCAAGGTCGAGGAAACAAAAGCCAACTACATCTATCTTTGGCCCCCAATCTGCAGGAAGAAAAATCATATCAGACTTACATACTTCAAATTTGCAACCCCAAACTTCTGATACATCACACAGCTTGTTAGTGCCATTGACTGATTTATATCTCAAAGCATGGCAATAGTTTATCATCACTTCCTTTTGGTAGTAGACATCCAACTCAGCTAGTACTAATATGGAGCTTGAAGAATGTATTAGAGAAAACTAATGGAACATTAGCAGATAAGTTTGCTGTGCGGAAACTAAAGATACCACTTTTAGTAGATGAGAACACCATGGTTTCAGTTATATTATTCATGTAAAGAGGAAGTGATGAAGCAAACTTCCATAAGCCACATGCAGGACATATAAAAAGGAATAGGAAAAAATACCGACTAAAGGTAGCAGCACTCAGACAAATCAATAGAAAGCAAGCGCCTAGAAGAACAGGGAGCAAAAGAAAGGGGAAACTCAAATGGCCACATCATTACCCCGTTGTCTACCAAAAAAAGGAGAGAGAGAGTTTCAAATAAGTGTGTGCGTGCGCGAGTGTGGGTGTTATCAGGCCATAACAAAAGGTCAGAAAGCACTGATCAAATAAGAACAAGATGAAGAAAGTAGGGGGAGGGTGAGGAAAATTAGCATCTACCAGCTATTCTGAGCAGCAGCACAAACCGTTCCAGGATGTTTCATATAGAAAGAGAACTAAGAACAAACTACCCATGTAATCTGAGCTAAAACGAACCAGCAAAATGAAATTAAGTTCCACAAGCAGTATCAAATTAGTCAATTTCTGGGAATCATACAGAAGCAGATGCATCAGCGTGGCTGACTGCCCTGGTAATTGCTAGTCAGATTTGAAAATTTTACACTCTAATTATGATTTTTTTTTGTCACTCTCTTAATAGCCAGGAGTCAAAGGGTACAGAAACAAGAAGCCCATCATCCATGTCTGACAACTTTACACTGTTCATAGGGTATAAAGTTTGTATTACTAATCAACAGTAGGAAAAGTCTTAAGTAAATATACAACAAAGGGAAACTGCATATTGTAAGAAAATGAAAATATTTAAATCCATTAAACAGATCCAACAAGACTACTGCCAGAATTGTCTATAGTTCAGAAATAATCCAGAGAAACATTACTTTTTAAATTTAACAGCTCAGGAAAATAAAAGGAAAAATAAAAGCAAAAAGGATTTAAATTGGTGATTCAACAACATTCCTCAAATCATCAATCCAACATGTCATTGTCACAAAGAATGAAAAACTCCATTTAAGATCAAGGCGAGCAAATTTAGCATTTTAAGGATATATGTTTGTGGGTTCATGTATGAATAAAATGACCTTTTGCTTTGGGAACAAGGCATGGCTGACTGCCCTGGTAATTGCTAGTCAGATTTGAAAATTTTACTCTCATTATGATTTTTTTGGTCACTCTCTTAATAGCCAGGAGTCAAAGGGTACAGAAACAAGAAGCCCATCATCCATGTCTGACAACTTTACACTGTTCATAGGGTATAAAGTTTGTATTACTAATCAACAGTAGGAAAAGTCTTAAGTAAATATACAACAAAGGGAAACTGCATATTGTAAGAAAATGAAAATATTTAAATCCATTAAACAGATCCAACAAGACTACTGCCAGAATTGTCTATAGTTCAGAAATAATCCAGAGAAACATTACTTTTTAAATTTAACAGCTCAGGAAAATAAAAGCAAAAAGGATTTAAATTGGTGATTCAACAACATTCCTCAAATCATCAATCCAACATGTCATTGTCACAAAGAATGAAAAACTCCATTTAAGATCAAGGCGAGCAAATTTAGCATTCTAAGGATATATGTTTGTGGGTTCATGTATGAATAAAATGACCTTTTGCTTTGGGAACAAGGTGAGGACTCCATATATACCCATAAGGCACCTCTGGAGGAGAGCTATAGAACCCTCTCAAATATCTAACACGTCTCAGCTTCAGCTTTTTCTTTCGGAACTCATTAATCATGTCCCGTATTCCAAGCCATATTAGGGTGTCGACAACATGATACGAAAGCTGCAGCAAAGATTACCGAGACATGAGTTGATCTAAATTAAAATAAAAATTAGAAAAAACAAACAAAATCAACATTGAGGAAATGAAAAACAGACTCACTCTGTAACCAAGTTGTTGTTTAACACGGGACAAAGGATGCGGAAATTCACTAGTAGCCCTGATAAAAAGGTTACAGATGACACTGACTTAGTTAATCATTATCAAAATCTATACACACACACAAATAAATAAATATACATCAGTCCAGGGAATGATTGAATTGTCGATAACAGATAACACCTAAGTTGCTTTCTTCAGACAAGATGAATGAAGCCAGAATCAATGGTGTGTAGTACAGTTCATAACCTATTAACCTAGAAAGAATTGCAACATCAAAATAATCACAATCAACAAGACTTACGTCCATGGCATAGTGAAGAATATATGAATTGGTACTTTTAGCGCCTCTGCAACATGTGTATGTCCTGAAAAAGTTTTTTTTTCATTAAGACACTAAGAGACAAAAAAAATGCTGAAGTCCACAAGTTTCATTCATCAGAATACCAGCATGGTTTAAATAAAGAAGATTGAAAATGTAGAACAAAAAAATGGAACCTAATGTTTCTTTAGGTTAAATATAGCAGTAATGTTAACCATGCAAGATGTGGAAGAGATATGAGGAGCCTTCATGCTTAAATTACTCAATTGTCACAGGACACAGCATACATTAAAACAGAAAGTAAAGTAAAAGAGGTAATAAATTCTAACCATATGCTGGAGGGTTGGCAATTATCGCATCTACAACAAATGGGGCATTACTATCAGGATTATTGGACACACATGCAGGAAGTAGAGAGAATATTATTTCTTTCAGTTGTTGTCTCTGAATAGGAATTTCTGAAGGATCTGATGGTAAGAATCCCTTATTCTTGACCATATCTGCAGAAAACTAAGTGATCAGTATAAAAAATTTCGCACTGTAACAGCAAAACCCCTATTTCATATGATGCCAGAGTAATTAGGGACAAAATGCCTTCGATGGCATATTTCCAGTGCTTCAGAGTAATATTTAGTAATTACTAGATGAATGAAAGAAGGTAGGTCTAATCCACCAAACATATGGGTACATGACACTTCTATGCAAGACCAGAGAACCTGGAAAAAAGATTAAAGAGAAGAGGCCAGGGTGAAGCCGCAGCTGAAACATGGAAAATACAAGAGAGAAAACCATCAATGTATGTATTTTTCAGTTTCCAACTTTCCATCTCTCAAAAAGAGCTTTCAATTGCTCAAAAAATCTTCCTAAGGCCCTTCAAAAATGTATCCTATTAGACTTTATTATCTTCCCAATGTTTATTTAGGAAGAAAGTGATTCTACAAACAAACAAAATTGAGTCAACCCTCTCCCCTGCCCGTATATCAAGAGCAACTAGATGAAAAAAATTATCAGATAAAAATCTTTCCCTCAAAAAGAGGGGGGGTTAAAAATATTATCAACATAAAATCTGGACACTTACAGCCAGCAAGAACTTTTGGATCTCCTCCTAAAGGGAAGAACTCTAACCCAGCACTCAAAACAAAATCTTTAAAATTTGAATGGGTTGCCAATCTAACCCGATGGCCATCTGCCTGCAAACAAAATTTGACCTCCATCAACTCAAAATATTTGAGGCTGTGGTTGAAACTTGAAAGAGAATCTGTTCAAAAAGGGGATAATGGACACTAACCAACTTAAAACCAACAAACAAACATCATAATCATATATAAGAGTCCAAATCTACAGCAACAACTCCTTTGCACAATGCATGGCTAGAAGATTTTTCAATAAGATAAATAAACTAACAACTCGACTAGATTATTATTCTGTTTTGGCATATTCTCTAACCGGTATTAGTTCTGTTAACCTTAATGAAACCAAGAGAAGAATAAACCTGAATACATTTTTCTTTATAACATCAAAGTTAGCTATTCAGCATTTCATTGTGTTAACCTGATGCCATGTCTAAGGAAAACAAAGCAACCATGAATTATGAAATTGGAGTCATTGTGTTTTTCTAATTTACTCAACTTAGTGTTTGTAGTGCCATCTTTTTACCCTTAGGCAGTTTTCTACATTTTTTCTATCTTCCCAGCCACCATTCTGTATAGGTGAAAACATAAAATAAATTTGCACGGTTTCTGTTGACGTTAACATTCTAAACCAGAAAACAGCCATCCCTTCTTATAGTGTTTACTTACCAGACCAATCACTGTTTCAATCTCGGTATTCACCAACCAATTTTCTCATTTTACCAATACTTTCATCCTCAACCTCAGTTCATTTATCAATCTTAAATATTTTCCTTACAATATCAAAGCACTAAGTTAGCAACTACTCTAAAGTCTGTCTTTAAGTCGATGCACAACCCTGTAGACAAATTTCTTGAAATTATCCCGCTTCAGTCCTTTATCATGTATGTTTGGACATGCTATAATCTGTACCAAATATAGGTGAAAGCAAGTGAAAATACAACATGCCTCAATGTCAAACATCAAAAGACAAAAAAGCCATGATTGTCATTTAAAAGAAAATAGGGTGCAATCCCAAGTGCACAATATCGCAGGCTCGTTGGACAAGGGTACTAGTCAAAAATTGGAGACAAAAAATTAACTCATTATTTATCAACAAATTTGAAGCAATTAGAAACATATATACGTACATGGATGAATGGCACTATAACAGCGACATTTACAACAAAACCAAAATGGTTACATACGAAAACATCAAGATCAGATCACATTCAGGAAAGGTGAAAGAGCCATCTGTTATTTCCAGCAGATAATCCACCTGAAGATAATAATGCCATATTGTGGTATGCAACATAAATTGATCATCGAAACTCAATAACACAACATACTTCTAGGCTTTCGGAAAAGATAAACATGCAGACTATATGCATACTTCTTATAGGCTGTTACAATGTTTGCTAAAATGAGAATACGAATATAACCTGTAAACGCTTTCCAATGGCAACAAATGGCTGTACATCTCCTCGTGTCCCCACAATAAGCATTACTATTTGCAGTGGAGGAGGTATGTCTGGAATATCTGCAGATTCAACATGCTCCTCTGAAGCTTCATTGTAAACTATATCAGTTCCAAAATCAAGTGCGTGAGATTTCATATCGACTGGGATATCAAATTGCACAGTTCCATCATGTTTTACACTAGCGAGCCGATTCAACCATTTGATCTGCATAAATATTTTAAAATCTAATTTAGAATTCCATTCCCCAGACCAAAAAAATGATAGAATAGAGATTGGAATTAAAATAAAACATTAAGAAAATATGGAGACTTCCCAAAATAAGGGTTCTAATTGAAGAAACAGCCAATGTACAATCACTTAATACTACATCAAGAAAAAGAGAAATGTTCAAGCTAGGTTTCAATCAAATTCCCAAAAAAAATGATCCACTAATCTTGTTAGTCATCAAGGATAATACTCTTCTTGAATTATTGGATAAGCACACCAACCTAGAGCCTACCTATATGCAATAAAAATTTTGAAATGATCATGTTTCTAGTATCAAACACATTGATGCTTGTAACACTAAAGAAGTCACTTCATGAAATTTAATATCACTTTTAAGTTAGAATCATATCCCAGAACTTAAAATTAGTTTTATTCAAAAGACTACTCCCGTTATTATCACCCCACATGACTAATAACAACACATACAAAGAAATGAGAATAACCAGAGGTGAGTATATCTATACCTTCTTTCTGAAAGAAGCTTTTTCATCCAAAATTTTGGTTGCATAAGTACCTAATTTGCTATTGTGCTTTAGTCTCGGAGATTGTGATGGCTCATCAGATCCCGAATTTATTGGAGAAGTAGATGCTTCACCATGCATGTTTTGTCCAGCCAAACTCCTGTCAGTAGGGCCTGGTAGAGCATATATTAGAGAAATAATGCTAGTATAGTAGTATGCATAATTACCTTCAGTAAAATAACAATCCCCACATGCTAAGGCCAAGGCTGAAGCCAGAAAATGTTGTCTTCTTTCATTGTTATTTTTTTTTTCGGGGGGAACACACATATATATAGATTTGGAGTAATAATAATAATTTTACAAAGACTTATAAAATATATATCTAGTTTATTAAAAATAGCTTGAAGAATCAAAATAGAAAGAAGTCAAATTAAAAACTTTGGAGAGGTCAAAAACAAACGAAAATAAAATTAGAAAACTTTAGGGGCAAACATAAATTACTAAGTTTTTATAAATTTCTTATAGGGTCAAAATTTAAAATTAAAGAACTTGGGGGGGGAGTCAAGACCCTTCACAGTTTTGCGATTTCAACTCATTTCTTGACCCTTGATAACGCATACACACAATGCAGACGCAAAGGCTCAAACTCGGGTTTTCTAGGGAGAACAACATTCTATTTTACCACTAAGGCCATTCAATGGATTCCAACCAAGATATATTAGAATTTCTATTAATGTGATCTCAATGGAAAGCTGAAGCCCCTCATCTTTTATGTAGTCAGTTTGTTCGAACCTTATTTGGATTTTCTCCTGGATACATGCAGCTTCTGATTCAATTACTGGGGGGAAAAGCTATTTCATTTCACCAAGTATTTTATATTTCCCACTCTCAGATACAACATACATTATGCCAATCATAACCAAATAATCGATAGAAAATTGGTGAATAGTAAATAATGCATACACAGATAACTACATTAATGATAATAAATGATCAAACCTGAATCTTTAGAACCCTTTTCTCCGTCGCTAACATCAACAGCCAGATCAGTTGAAGAACCTAAATAAAAACACAATTTACAAAAGAAAAATGCCAGAAAAAAAAAGTAAAATATATATATATTAAGTTTGAACAAAAAAGTTTTAAGGAAACAATTAAAAACATCTCATAAATTCACCTCCCAATACAAAAAAAATGCATCTGTCGAAATACATTACCAATCGAATCAGTGAAATAAATAAAAAAGAGAAGCAAAAGAAACCTGAAGAAATAGCGACACTGGAATCATCGCTGGAAAGCTCAAAGGGGAGATCACTGGAAGTGAAGTTAGGGTTGAGACCAATCGGCTGCGGCAACTCTGCCATTTCCTCGAAAGGATATGGAAATGATGGAGATTCCAGTGAAAACCTGGAGATGGAGAATAGAAGACGCGATGGGAAATTTTTTTAATTTTTTTTTAGTAAAGGAAAATCTAAACCCAGAACTGAAGAAACTGTGGGCTATGGGTACTGAATTTAAGAATAATAAAAACAAGCTTGTTTGTGAAACAAGTAAGTTTCTGTGTTAATTGAATTTAAAATGCGGAAAGCTTCATTGTGAAAAGACAACCAGGTTTTGCTTATTAAACGAATCTTAGTTTGGAAAGATGTTGAGTTGTTGTTTCTTAAAAGTGATTTGTCAGAACATTGAATTTGAACAAACCAATCCTGTCTAATTCGAATAATCATCTTTTCGGGTTAAGTTACATTGATGGTCACTTTTATTTATTTTTTTCTTATTTTGATCACTTACTTTTAAAAAGTATTGTTTTACTCGCTTATATTATCGATTTATCACAAAATAATCGTTGACACGATAATTCACCTTATACCGGCAATGTAGTATATTAACAAAACTATTTAATTTCTAATTTAAATTTTAGATAAAATATCAATTTAATATATTTTACAATATATTAACTGTAACTATGTAGAAACCCTAATCACTATCATTACAATACTTGTTGTTAGTTTCTTATACCTACGGGTGTAAACGAGCCGAGTCGAGATTGAGTATTGCTGAGCTCGACTCGAAAATTTGCAAGCTTAAAATTTTTAAGCTCGACTCAAACTCGAAATCATGAACTGAAGCTCGTGAGCAACTCGAAAAGGGTTGAAATGAAAAAAAAATCTTAAACTTAACAAGATTGAATCCTCAAACTTAAACTCGAACTTGGACCTTAAATACATGAAAGCCTTATTGTATTTTAAAAAAAATCAACACATAAATGTTGATATTATTAATAATTTATTTTTTTAAAAAATAAAATCTTAATATATTATATTTTCAAGCTGCTCACGAGCTTTTCGAGTCAAGTATCAAGTAGCTCGTTTCGGCTCGTTAAGAATTCGAGTCGAGTCCATTCGATCTGAATATTTATCGAGCCTTAACCGAGTCGATTTCGAATAGCTCACTATTTGTCTCATCTCATTTACAGTCCTACTTATACCACATCAACTGCCATTAATTACAAGAAAAAAATGATGTAAAAGTTAAACTATAACAAGTATAGTTTATCTAAATTACAAAGTGCTAATAATTAAGGGACCAATAAGATAATTTAACCAAAGAAAAAGGTTCTTAGAAGACGTTGGGTAAACAATAAAAGTGAGGTGTATTAATTAAAAGAAGGGAATGGAAGGCTTGAGATTTGGTAACCGGCCACTACATAAGGTGGTCGATGCAACGGGGAAGTATAAGGTGTGGTAGATTAATATACCTTTGAAAAGTCGTTATTAGAAATATTATTATTATTTTACTATTTTTGATAAATTATTATTTAAAATAGTATTTTTTATTGAAAATATTAATATTAGGTATTATCTAAATATTATTTTTTTTATCGAAAATATTAATATTGGGCGCTACCTAAAATATTATTTTTCTACAAAAAATTAACTAACGAAATTAATATTTTTGATAAAACAAATAATATTTTAAATAATATTTTACCAAAAATATTAAAATAATAATAAAATTTCCTATAATATCTTTCTTTAATCGTATATTAAATTGTTGTATTTCATAACTACTCCGATGCAACCAATGGTGAGCACATCAATCTTTCAAGTCAAGGGTGGTTTATCTTTTTTTTTCAAAAAAAGAAAAAGATACAGTAGTCAACGGTAAATACTTCGATTTTAATATAAAAAGTAGATTTGAAAGTTATTTTAATATTATATTCTTATTAGAAAATAATTCAATTCATTCATGAAAATTTATATTTAATTGATTGTTAAATTTTTGTTTTTTTAATTAACAAAAATTATTGTTGACGTTATAATATTGATATGATAATTAATAGTATTGATATGATGATTCACATATGGATATTATGTAATAAGTGTTCTTAATTAATTTTTTTAATTTGAAGATTTATTTAATATTTATATAAAAGAAACAAAATTTTAAAATCTATTAATTGACTGAATGACTAAAAATATTAGGATAAATTACACATTTAGTAACTAAATCATCTGTTTTTATTTTTTTAGTACTTAAACTTTTATTTTTTTTTAAAATCATACATAACGTTTAGTTTTTGGTTCATTTTAGTATTCACTTTTAAAAGTTTAACACGTTTATTACTTGAACTATTGGTTTTGGTCCATTTTAGTACATAAACTTTTATTTTTTTTTTTCAAAATTTAACATTAAAATTTGAATAAGAGTACTAATATGAAATAAGAACTAAATTTTATGTATGATTTTGAAAAAAATGAAAATTTAAATACTAAAACATATCAAACTGATAGTTTTGTACTAAACGTGTAATTTACCCAAAATATTATATTGTCCCACTTTCTATTTGAAAATCTAACACCCTTCAACTTTATCAAAATTTTAAAACATTACAAATTTATTAAAATATTAGAAAAATAAAATCTATTAAAAATAAAAACTCATTTTTTTCAAAAAAGTAATTTTCGCTAAAGAATTAATTTTTTTTGCGAATATAAAGACTAAAATACCCTTTAAGCCTGGAAAATATATACTTTCGCAATTGCATCATTCTGCAGTAGGATAACCTAAAGAGAGTTTAATTTAAGGTTACAGAAAGGTAATTGAAAATATTATAAAAATTATAACATTTTTTATTAAACACAACTTAAAATGTTAACTTTTTTTTACTATATTTTTTCTTAAAAAATCTTTTTATAACATTTTCGATTGATAACAAAAATATTATTTACTGCATAATATTTCAGTTCAACTGAAAAAGTTAAAAAATTATATTTCAGTTTAACCGATAAAGTTAAAAAATTAACATATTAAATTACGTCCAATAAAAAATATTATAATTTTTATAACATTTTTAATTACGTTTATTTCTACCTTTCTTTAACTACGCGCCGCATTTACCTAGAAGCAAATTAATCACAGTTATAATGACGGCCAGCTTCGAAGAACTCACGAGGTTTTCTAGATTCGGGCACTAGAAATTTAAAAAACATGAAAAAAAATAATTGAAATAAAAATTTATATATTCCATATTATTTTAGAGAGCAACATGCTAACATTTATAACTTAATATTTACTAATTATACATATAAAAAATACATATATATTAAAAATTCTTATGTGAAAATAAAAATTAAGAACAAAATTATGAGCATTGTCCAGTGAGTGGCTAAAAAAACTAGTAACCTCTGCAAAATTTGTAATTTGCTTTGAAAATTTATTTCATTTAAATAAACACGTTAACATAAATTCTTTTAAAAATATAAGAGAAAAATTCATATTTATGTAAACAGACTTATATAACTACAACCACATTCCACACTAAATTCGTTTCGAACTAAATAAATAATCAGACTCATGAATATGTCTAATTAATTACTGAGTTGGGTTGGTAAGGTAACATACTAGTTAATATCTCAATCTGGTGTGCAACAGAGATTAAGACGCCCTTTACTTTCAGGCTGCCTTCTTTTTCCCAAAAAGTAAGCTCAACGAGTAGGTGTTGCCTTTCTCCGCAGCAGCTTCTACTCGACGCCTTCCAACCTGAAACTCGTTCGCATTACATTAACTGTAAATCGGACACAACTGCGGTGGTGGGGCAGGAGCAAAACCCACAGTTTCGAGAAATTATAAAAAAAAAAAGAAAAAACATGACATGATACAACAGTTTGATTGCAGTTACAAATATTACAATGTGTTATAGGAAAACCTTGGGATTCATCGAGATGCAAACAAGACCGTGTCATGGAATGGATTGAAAGAAGACTGACGGACCATACCTTGTCCATGAGCCAATAGCCAATGGTAGGCATGTACTGCACCAGATACATTACTGCGAGTACAGGCTGAAGAAAACAAACCAAAAACATCAAAAATTGTTCTTACCTATACTACTTGCACAAGATAAAACCATTCACTTGTGTATCAGAGCATACAGTAGGAGAAGAAGAGGGTGACCCGTCTCGTGCGTGACAACTAAATACAATGTTCCATTTGCAAAAACTTAAAAGCTGAGTGCGCCTTCCAGACTTTCCTATAACTCCATTATTTGTAAGCACATTTTACTCATGTCTTGCTCTTGGAATAAATAGCAAAAAATCGACTATATGAAGTTCAAATTTTCATACAAGATTTAATACAATAAATATCTAAGGTAACAAACATATATAACTAAAATCTTGATACCAAATGTTATGAAGAGTAACAGTTTAATATGGATAAGTTAGAAGTATTTCTACGCATTATCATTACAGTACACTGAACGTAAAATTCCTAATATGCATGGATTATTGAAGATCGAAAATTCGTTCAAACATGAAAGGGCAAGAGGAAAAAAGAAATAGGTAAAACTCTCAAATAACAAACACCAAAACAAATGAATTAGTAAATAAAAAAGAATTATCAAATACATTAAGTCGAGAAAAAAAGGATCAGCATGACACAGGATTTGTAAGTCGAGAAATCGGTATAAAGTTGTGTTTAATTTCCTTATACTTTCTCCTTCCAATCATTCTTAAATTTTATATATTTCTTATATTTTCAGATACCGAAAACATTACTCAACATTTTGATTGGAGCCACTCCAACAAACTCCCACCCTCCTTAACAATGGAGTTAACATATAGCATATAGCAAGTAATTGGCTATACCGTTCAACACTTCTTGGTTGTAAGGTGTGACACATAACAAATAAGAGAGAGATTATAATTAAAGATAGAAACAAATGATAAGAAATTAAACTACTATGCAAATACCTGGTAGGATATCCAAACTTCTTTCAAACCATGAGAGGCAGCAATGATTGTGAGTTCTGCACACCTTTCAGCTGACACACGCTTCTATTGACATTAAAAAAAAGAGACTATTAAACTCGCGTGCAATGTCTAACAATTAAATCCCAAAAATGTTTTAAGAATGGACATGTAGAAAAGGGGACAAAAACCAGCTTTTGTACAACGTTGTACTATCACAAAAAATGACTAGTGAAACAGAAAGGGACTATCCTAAATGACTAATAAAGGGCATGACAACTGACAAGTAGAAAAGAGTATCTCTACAAGAGAGAATGTAATAAACTCATTTCTTATGATAGTACAACAGCATTGAAAAGGGGACAAAATAAGGTTTTTTATACAACGTTAGGGAAGACAGTAAATTGGCAGTATTGGACCCTCAAGCCATTTAGGTTGCATATGATAAGGTTAGGTTAATTGAAAATATTTTGAGAACCAAAAAAAATTATTGTTTAAAAAAAAGAGGGTAAAGTACACATGCTCCCCCAACTATAAGGTATTGTTTTGTTGAGTTCCTCGACTATTAAAGTTAGAAAATGGTCCCCCAATTATAGGACATTGTTTTGTTGCGTCCCCGGCTATTAAAAATTAAAAAATGGTCACCCTATAGTCGGGGGACCATTTGTGTACTTTTCCCTTAAAAGATGTCAATATCCAATTAGCTACATGATTAATTTAATGACCACAGGAACACACCTCAGAGGAAACGTTAGTTGTGGAAGATGTTGCTCCGGAACCATTTGGAGTTGCTACTGGCCCAGGACAAACTACAGTAACCTTAATCCCTTTCTGACAGAGCTGCATGCCAAAGAATAAAGGGAAAAAGGGAAAGAATGAGACAGAATATTTTTTTTTTATAAGAAAGGAGGTCTCATTAAAATTCCGCCTTCATATCCGTTGAAAAATGAGAAGTATCTCAACGGACATTGGAAGAAGGAAAAGAGTACCTCAAAATTTTATTAAATGATTCAAATTACACCAAGGATCAAAACTCAAGATAGGCTGGGAACCCGACTGGACTAACACTACTCACTTAAAAAGCCACACCCTACCCAGCCAAAAACAACATAGAAAGTTACCCAATGCCAAACTTAGCTAGCTATCCGCCTCCCAATTAGCACCTCTCGGAATGTGCCTTAAAATAACGTTACTAACCGATACACCATGGACAATATCCTTAACTAACTTGTCAACAGAGTCTGGACAAGATCCGGGATTCTTAATCCACTTCAACGCATTCACACAACCACTTTCCAAAGTCAGTTGACCCTTCCCCCTCCATTCGGAATCCAAAAATAAAGACAACCCAGCTAGGATGGCTTTCAAGTCAACTATTATAGGAGGGCCAGGACCGGCAGGAGCACAAAAAGAATCCAATTGTTTACCCTCATAGTCTTTGGCCAAGAACCAAGAAGCCAATCTGTATCTAGCTAAGAAGAACAATTTAGTTAGGTCTAGCTTCCCATTCTCAAACACCATGTTGTTTCAACATTTCCATACGGACCACAAAACGACTCCCGAAATGAAGTTCCATATAACAGACTTGGGAAGAAAATTCACCCAAGCAGATAGGAACAAGGAGAGCATTGGACACGTTCCAAAACCTCATAAACCCGACCATAAATCCCACGCAACTTTACAGGAAAAGAACAGATGGGAAATCGACTTAGGCTCAAGACGACATAAGGGGCACAGGGGGTCTTCAATCCCATTAACACTACGCTTGACTAGCTCAGACTTCACAGCCGCTTTTTGGTGAACCACCTACCAAATAAACGCCTCCACTCTAGGAGGGACCAACCCAGACCAAACATTCTTCAACCAGAACGGATTTGGTTCGATCAGTCCAGACGCTAGTCTAACACAAGACTTAACCGAAAACGAGCCATCTCCATTCCTGTCTACATACCATAGTCTTCCAAATCCAATCCCAATTTAACATTATCCAGAAGCGACATAAGTTCAATCCATTGATCCAATTCCCTGTCAAAAAGATTCCTTCTCATTTGTATGTCACAACACCACCCTTCTAAATTGAAGAAACCGTACTCCAAGATTTTCTCATTTTTATTTGTCGAAAGAACAAAAAGCCTAGTGAACTGCATTTTCAGTGGATTATTACAGAGCCAGCAGTCATGCCAGAATAGTATCGAATCCCCCTTCCCCACTTGCACTTGAAGATGCTTGCGAAAATTTAATCCAAATGTATCATCTGTCCAGCAATTATTCACCACACCTCTCCAAAACCATGAAGATTGAGATGGCAAAACTTTATTCATCAGGACCGTTCTAGAATCCAAATTATACTTGCAACACACCATCTTTTTCCACCACGACTCTTTCTCATTGACGAATTTCCAAGTCTACTTCCTAAGTAGAGCTCGATTCATCAAGTTCAAATCAAGTTTAATTATTGAGAAGAGGGGTTCCTTTAGGAGAGAACATTCTCTGCCCTCTTTGTAACCAAGGGGATGAATAAATCCAACATCTTTTTATTTCATGTCAAGTTACGTGGGAACTGTGGAATAAGATTATAGGGTACTGGGGTATTCGGCTAGCTCTTCCGCCAGACCCTCCATCTCTGATCAGTTCTTGGGCTGATGTGAATCCTAAATCTGCTATGTGGAAGTTTATTCCGGGGGTACTCTTTTAGTCAATTTGGAAGATTAGAAATGAGATCATCTTTGGAAAAAAAGAGTTGGATAGATTATCAGTGTTTTTCACTGTTCGGTTAAGGTTAGCCAAATGATATATAGCAAAGTATCCCCTAATCCCTATTCAGGTGGATTCTTTAATTGTTGACCCTTCTTTGGCTGATAATCTAACAGAGTTCAACGACCTGAACAGGATGGTGAAGTGCTGGAGTCCTCCTCCAGGGGATTTTTTTAAGATGAATGTGGATGGGGCTGTTAGTACGGTTGGAATGAATGCTGGAATAGGGGGTATCCTCAGAGATTGGAATCGGGTTATACTTATCTCATTTTCAGAAAGTGTCGGTCCTACTCCTACCATCCTAGTAGAGCTTAAGGCTATCAAAAAAGGCATTGATCTATTTGTTTCATCACAATGGGCTTTGAAGGCAGACTAATTATTGAAAGTGATTCAAAGATAGCAGTGGACTGGATAAAAAACCAAGCTATAGCCCCTGCTTTTCTGTTAAATTTTGTCAAGGAAATTGTCTCTACTGTTTCAGCTAAACAGGTTATTGTTAGGTGGATTCCTAGAAAGTGTAACTCTGAGGCTGATAAGCTAGCAAAGGAAGGAATTGCGTGATTAATAACGTTGTTTTGGTTGGTTTGTATGTCTTAGAGGAAAGTGTCTTAAGTTTTATGTAGTTTGTAAGACTGTTTTTAAGTCTTATGTAACTGGCTTATTATTAATAAATTGATGCACTTTTTTCCTCCTTCTGCTAGTTGGTTCTAGCCTTAGGGCAGAGGACTACTATGAGGGAGGTTTTTAATGAGGCATCCTATTCCTATAAAAAAAATAATACCCAAACCCCCAAATTCTTTAGGTTTGCATACCGACGACCATTTAACCCAATGGATGCGCTTCGTCTCAACCGATCAGCTCCATATAAAATTAGCCATGATTGAGTTAAGTTTTTTACGGACACTCGACGGCATTCTAAATGAAGACATAGAAACTTTGCAAGGAACTCAATACTGATTTCACCAGCACAACTCTCCCCGCAAGATAAAGCGTGGCCACTTTCCATCCTGCCAATTTCTGATAAAAACGTTGAACAACCGAATCCCACATCATTGTCGAATTCTTTTTTGCTCCAAGGGGAAGCCCAAGATATTCTGTCGGAAAAAAACAAACGAACAACCAATAGATACTGCTCAATCTTTAAGAGTATTTTCCTCAACATTTATACCAAAAACCTTACTTTTAGATAGGTTTAATTGTAACCCCAAGCACATTTAAAAAATTCTCATAACTCTTTTCACATTCTTTAATTGACCTTCTAAAGCATTACAAAAAATTCTAAAGCTTTAATTGACCTTCTAGAATCTGTCTTCCAAGGATAAAAGAAAATTGTGAAGGACCTATCAAAGAGCCAATGTACATCCTTAATCGTCTGGAGAGGAACTTCGACAAGATCTTGTAGAAACCTCCAACCAATAATCGGCCAGCAATCTTCCAATCTAACCGGATTAGGAACCTCAGGCATGAGAGTAATAAAAGAGTGATTAAACCCTCCCTCCCACCTCTTCCCCCATAGAAGTCATTGAAAAACCTTAAGATATCCTCCTTAAGTGATTGCCAGAACTTTTTGAAAAAACCCATGTTTAGGCCATCAGGGCCCAGAGCCTTATTGCTATTCGAAGAGGCTATCGCAATCCAGATTTCTTCCTCCGAGAAAGGGCTTTCTAAAACAGAGCATTGTGCCTCGGATAATTTTGCAAAATCCATGTCAGTATCAGTCACTCCAAATCTCTAATTGTTGGCTTCAAATTATATGCCTTCTTAAAGAATTCAAAAACATTGTATTTAATATGGATTGGATCATCAATCAACTTGCCATCGACTTCCAACAACTTCATGGAGTTCACCCTACTTCTCTTTAGAGCGCATTGATGGAAGAACCTAGAGTTTCTATCTCTATCTTGAATCCACTTCACACGAGATTTCTGAAACCAAATCCATTCTTCTTTTCTATACAGAGCCCATAAATCTTTCTTAAACTTCACAAGGGAGCCCATCGAAATTGAAGATGACACCTATTGAAGGTCCAACTCCATCTCCAAAATTGACCTCTCTAGTAAGGATATCCTCCCTGGCAGTTTTGAATGGCTATTATTGCACCAACCTTTAATTGCTTTCTTTGATTCTTTTAGTAAGTTCACTATACCCCCTTTTCTCTTATCTTTCATCAACTTCTTGAGTTCAGATTCCATCATATCTTGAAACCCATCTGATGTGATCCCAATCAGCCCTAACTTTTGTCTTGATCTGATTAAATCATTGAAGTTAACCAAGGCTGATTCAAAGGGAGTTCTACCTTACTTCATCTTATACCTACTCATTTATGCACTATATTTTATCATATGTTTGTATTTACCTCTTAGGATATACTTATCATATGATATCATTCATTGCATGAGTTTTATTAGTTGCATGACATTCATTGCATTTAATAAGTGTGTTGTTCATTTAAGCATACATTGCATTTAAATCATCTAGTTCATTTAGGGATGTAGTTCATTTATGCATATTTAGATCATTTAGTAAGCTACTTCATTCATGCATCTAGCTCATTGAATAAAGTTAGTTCATTAATTAAACTAGTTTATTCATCAAACTAGTTCATTTATTAGACTAACTCTTAATTGTTTCATGCATGTTTTTAAAGATTGAATAAAGTTCACCTTTGTGTCTAGGTGCATGAGAGAAGTTGAACGGTTTCAACAGATGCAAGAATATCAATCAGAATGTCTTCTAATTCTGGATGTGATACAGACGTTTTTGGGTCCATAAATCAATTGGAAATTATTCCTCTATCTCTTAGCTTTCCAACGCCTTTTGAATCACCTCAATCCGATATCGGGAGCTTGAGATATGATTGATTTACTGAAGACAGTGCAGGCTGGAATTTTCATTACGGGAATTTTATACAAGGATGATTTGGATGAGTTTGAGCCAAGGAAGAATCCTTTCATCTTCTACCAAGAGACAAGCAATTGATGGCCATCTTAGTTCACCAGTTCAAGGAATTCAAGGTTAATGTTATCACCCATTAAAGGCCATTCATGTTCAAGCAAGGGGACATGCAATAACCAGCATTCAAAACTTAGCATTCAAGGCCTTTATCATCTTTTGAAGGTTGATCATATTCTACAAGGGAACAAGCAATGAAGGCTGATTTTATTTCATTTAGCCACCAAATGAAGTGATAAAATCAGCAAGGAATTTGAAGAGACAAGCTGATTTGGACATGTAGGATGTCCACATTCATCCTATGACTTCATTTATCCTCTTTTCTTCCATTTGCAAGCAAAGCAAGGCAGCCCAAGAGTCACCCCTCCTTTTTGGACGAATTTAAGGCTAGAATTATCTCAAATTAAAGCTTAAATCATCCATTTTCAATCTACATGGTCAGCCATCAAAGGATAAGAAGAATGAAAAGTCATTTAATTGAATTTAATTGCATTTAGGTAATTGTTTTATTTTAATTGTAAAAACTCTTCATATGGTGCCTATCAACACTATAAATAGGAACCTCCATGGCATTTGCACTTAGAACTTTTTGCATAATATACTCTTTGAAAGGTTGCTTTCATTTTAGTTCTTGGATTAGAACTCTATCGGTTTCTTGTCAGTCTTAAAGCCTTCCTCCATTTCATTTTTTATAATGTTGGTTCCTAACTCACCTATAGCTAGTGGGTCACGCTCCACCCTCTATCACTTCGTTTCCATCTTTGTATATTGTTGGTTCCTAGCTCCATATAGCTAGCGGGCACAATCCACACTTTTTATTTTATCATTCATCTCCCACGCCATAACATCTTTTACCTTCATCATACTTCCATTCTTTCCACATTATAAATTATTATCACTACTACACTTTCCCCACTTTCCTTCATGTCATTAAACCACAACAACCATCACTCTTCCATCAACTTTCAAACCACTTTATCATAACCTACAACCTTTCATTTTCAATTTACTTATATCAATTTCTTTCTTGTAACGTTGTTTGTTCATCTTCAGTCTTCAATCAAAGCACTGCGAAGTTCTTACTAGGATCACGATCGGGCAACATCATATATGACTCGGAACATAACCGGGATCACATCACCATCCTCCTCCATCAGATAGTTAAACAACTTAAAGGGTTTAGGATCCCAATTGACACCCTTACTTTCCAATACTATGACGCTGTGATTTGATAGTGAATTTGGGAATCCACCGAGAAACGATCAAACCTAGCAAAAGAGGGGGATTCCCTATTATTGCACCACGTGAACGTACCAAAAGATAGTGGCATGTCAATCATCTTAGCCTTGAGAACGAAATCCCTGAAAATTCCTATTGAGTGCATATTCTGAGTTTTACCCTTCTTTTCCTACGGCGATAAGTACGAAATAAAATTTCCACCAACACAGAAGGGACAATCCAACCGCTCTATAAAAGATAGAAGATCCTTGAAAAAAACTCTCCTTATCAAACTCTATTGTCGGTCCATGTTGATGAAGCAACATTGCTCTGAGTAATCCTTCAATCTGCCCCTAATTGCCACAAACCTTTTGGAAATAGACTGATCCAAAACCTCCAACCTACTCTCGTTCCAAAGACTTATGATCCGTCCTGCAACACCTTCTGAGGGAGACATAGCCATCCCACACAACTCCCCCCCCCCAATTTTCTTAACAACGCAGGATTGACATGATCCACTTTTGTTTCCTGCAAAAACAGTACAAATGGTCTCTTATTTACCACCAATTTTTTCACAACTCCTACTTCCTTCCCAGCCCCCTAACATTCCAAGATACGCACGATATTCTTGACATAAAAACAAGAAATAAACAAAACCCTTTGACGAGACTGGGGAGTTATCTCCTGCTCTCCATTCCCTTCTCCTTCTCCTTCTCCTTCTCCAAATCGGAGAATTTCTTAGCAAAGGCCTATTTTCCTCCCTGAAAAGTAATGCCCAACATCTTACTAACCTCCCAGGTGGCCTCTAGCTCCACATCAGCATCTTCAGACTATAAGAGCCTGCTTCCCATCTCCGAGCGACAACTGACCTACCTCCCTCTAGACCTATTATAAACCTTATCAAAAAAACCACTATAGACCCTACCAATTGAGGCACTTCTTGCATGAAGACAATTCGATGACGGTGAAGTAGTCCTCCTTCGGGAGGAGTCTCTAGACTTCGAACGACAGCTTCAATCGACAGAGTCAGTTTCTCTCCCAAACGAATTCCCTGATGGTTTCGAGACAATTCCTCCTTCGATAATAAGGCCCTGACCTTTATTTCTAATAGCCACATTACTCTCGCCCCCTCTGGCCCTGAAAAGTCTAGATCGATGCTCCCATCTCTTTCCCAAATCCAAATTGGGCTAGATTTACTACAGGCCCAGAAGGACGAATTGCAATATTCTGAAATTCCTCTGAAATGGATTGGGTCTACCCACCAGAGATTGGGGTCACGCAATCTCTCAATCCAAAACCTGCGAACTCCCCATTAAAGCTTCTCCTATTTACCAGGGAAACTGTCCCCACGTTATTAATGGGTTCGTTATCTCTACCATGCACCAATGATTGTTGCCTTGATTCTTCCAAGCGGTCTTCTCCCACTACAGTCTCATCATTGCCATCTGGTCTCCCCTCTTCAAGCCACGAGGCCACACAGACAACCATTAGAAAACTTAAGTTGTCGTACATGCTTAATACTAACCGTCAATTTCCATGCTAAGTCTAAAACCATACAACTTTTATTTTCTTTTAGGTGAGAAAAAAATAGAGTCGCCCAAACTCCAAAACCTCATCAATTAAGGAATATTAATAAATAAACACAAAGAACAAAAAACTTAGTTGTCATCTTTATACCTCAGAACGCAAGGTATGGAAATATCCATTTAAAGCATATTTAGAAGCTGAGTACACTGCCTGACCAGGTGCAGGTGTCTTTCCAGCAGCACTGCTCATCTGCACATAATTGTAATCAAATCAAACATGTATATTAAATAACAAGCAAAGGAAACAATATAAATGTACTTTCAGCTCTTGAAGACTCAAGCCCATGCCTATCAACGTATATGATGCTCTGTAACTGGTCAGTAGAAAGAAGAAAAAAGATTGCATCACAACCTAAAGCTCTAAAAGCAGCAATTAAAATTTTACAGCATGGAGCATCTGATCACCCATTTTCCCGGAACTATAAATGCATATTACTCCTTTTTCTCTTTTCTTACAATAAAAGAAATTTTGCAATTTTCTATGGGTGAAATATCATTCAGTTCCACGTATGACATACCACAACAAAGTGACCTCTTCCCCTTCTTAGCATAAAAGGTGTCAGCAGCCGTGTGAGAGATATTGTCCCGAATACATTCACATTGAATGTAGCCTAGCAGCAAAGAAAGATAATGAAATGTTTACTTTTGTAAAGACAACTAACAAAAAATCATGCATGTAATCCTAATGTACTGTTTCATTATACCTAGACTGAATGGGAATTGTTCCAGCAAACCTATGACTGTTTAAAATTTTGTAGCAGCATAAGGAGATCCAAATATATCAATTAGGTCTAACAATTACTATTGCACAAGGACTCCCCCATACCTTAAGACTTTCCTCTGTTACATCCAAAGCCGTCGTTTTCTGCACACAATAATAAAATAGTAATAATAGTAATAATAGGGGGTGGGTGAAGAACAATAACATAGAAAAACAGTATAGGAAATGTTACTCTAGGCTTGGGATGCAACTTTTCAAATAGACAGCTATGAACTATAGAAATATTGTAGAAAAATATCATGTACAGACTGTCAATATTAGCCAGTTTGCTTGAGTTAGAGAATCATATGACATGCCTCACAGAAAGAAGATGCTTTGTCATTATAACAAACCATAATGCTGAGGAGTTGTACCAAATCCACATGCAGCTAGTGAAACTACTGAGCACAAGTAGTTGAAACTACAGATTGAAGATGTGGACTTTCAGTCGGAAAAGGGAAAGTAGCATTCATACATTCTTACTTTCAAAGAAATTAAAGCATTATTTGACCACAAAATTAAGCTATCAGATCAATTCATGCATAAGGAGCAAGGAGAAACAGCCAAACAGGCTTTCTGCAATAGTTCATATGATCACAAAAAGAACATACTTGATAGGTTCCCTCCTTCGCCAAACCAAAGAAACATGTTTTTGGTTTGATAAATAAGACAAGTTTCATGCTTAAAAAATCAGGTCAGGCCAACCTGCCCCAAGTATATTTTTTCTGCTATTTTAGTAAATTTGTTACTTAATGTGTTAACTAATATAATAAAATAATTCTTTTTTTATAAGAAAGGGAAGTCTCATTAAAAAACCCCTTCATAACCGTTGAAATACTGGGAGGTATCTCGACGGACATTGGATGGAGAAAAAGAGTACCTCAATTTTATTACCAAACTGTCAAGATTACAAAGGGTACATAGATCCTACAAAAGAAATAGACACCTAGCAACATGATCCAAACCTCCTACATACAAGCAAAACACAGTAGACTACATAAGAACTCTTAACCAATTCCCAACTTTACTAGTTCGTCAGCCTTCCAATTAACACATCTTTGAATATGTTTGACAATACGTTACGATCCAACACCTTAGTAGCAATTTCCTTAACTAATGACTCAAACAGGGTTGGGCATGTGCCAAGATTTTTTATCCACTCTAAGGCATTAATACAGTCGCACTCCATAACCAATATTCCTTTAGACCCCCACCCCGACTCAAAGAAGAGGCGTAAGCCAGCTTTAATTGCCATTAGTTCAGCCAAGATAGGGGGACCAGGCCCAACATGTTCCAAGAAGGACCCCAACAACTCTCCATTCGAGTTATGTAATAATCCTCCAATGTCACCGCTTTGCCAATCCTTATCTATCGCTCCATCTACATTAACCTTGAAAAAAATCTCAGGGAGGAGGAGACAAGGTGAGGGGAGGAAGAAACCTTTTTCATAGACCACTAAAGATCCACCAAAGATGGATCACCCACGAGAGTCAAATAGCACCGATACACTAGGAAACTTGGCAAAAAAACCATGAAGCCAATCTGAATATAGTAAGGAAAGAAAGTTGAACTTGATCAAGCGAGCCATTCTAAAAAATTATCGCGTTCCTACGCTTCCACGCTGACCACATAATCACCCTTGGAATAAAAGTCAAAATGTGTGAGCGAGGAACAAGATCCGACCAAGTAACTAGGAGGACTCCAAGGTTATGAGGCAAGATAGCAGAGACATTCCAAACCCGTAGGAAACTGCGGCAAAGATCCCACACCACCTTGCACGACACTAATAAGTGGTTAATGGTTTCTGTTTCCAACCCACATAGTGGACACAACATGTCCTCTAAACCAGAAATGCCACGTTTCAAGAGTTTCGATTTCACAACCAGTTTCTAATGGATTGCCTGCCAAACGAAAGACTCCACTCTCGGGGGCAACCCCAATCCAGACTTGATTCAACCAAAAAGGGTTGTTGGTTGATCGATCATACATTAATCTAACACAGGACTTAAACCAAGTAGGTCCCCTCCCCGTTCCCACAGACCATAAGTAACAATCTTCCTCCACGGCCCCGAAAGAGAAATTGCATAATAAAGAGTTGAGATTTAGCCACTGCTCCACTTCCCAATCAGCAAGGTTACGTCTCATTTGAATGTTTCAACACCAACCAGATTGATTCCAACATCTAAAATCTGCAATTGTCCCCTCTTTGTTGACCAAGAGAGCGAACAGTCTCGGAAACTAAGACTTTGGAGGGAAGCTGCCTAACCAAATGTCCTGTCAAAAACGAAAAGAATCTCCCTTACCCACCTTAGGCTGAAGGTGATTCTGAAAACACTTCCCAAAATCATCGTTTTTCCCACTATTGTTCGCCACCCCTTTCCAAATCTATGAAGCTCTAGGGAATGAATCATTTTTGATCCGAACAGTAATTGGGTTTACACTATACTTGCTGCACACTAACCTTTGCCACCAAGTATCTTTCACAATTGCAAACTTCCAAGTCCATTTTCCAAGGAGAGCACTGTTCAGTAAATTGAGGTCAATAATGCCTAGGCCTCCCAACATCTTAGGTTGGCATACAGTCAACCATCTAACCCAACGTATCTTCTTTTCCACCGGAACCCCCTAAACGAACTTCGCCATTATCGAGTTTATTTTCTTCAAAACATTGGTTGGTAATCTGAAGATGAATACGAAATATATCGGTAAAGAGCTGAGGACCAACTTAACTAAAACCACTCTTCCCGCCAATGATAGGTATGTTGCTTTCCAAACTGTCATTTATTGTAAAATCTTTGAATTGTCGAATCCCATAGTGTTGTCGAGTTTTTTTTCTACACCAAGGGGAAGACCAAGATATTCTGTAGGAAACACCCCAACGGAGCATCCCAAAACATCCACCCATTCCTTAGTCACCTCGTCGCCCAAATTAATTCCCATAATTCTGCTCTTAAACAGAGTCAATTGTAGACCAGACATCAACTCGAAAATGCGTAGAACTCTACTTACATTCTTCAATTGACCAATGGAAGCATTGCAGAAAATTAACAAATCATCCACAAATTGTAGGTGAGATAACATGAATGAATTTCCAGTCTTGCCAATTTCAAAGCCCTTAAACAGCCCCAATCTGACTGCCTTGGTCAACATCAAGTTTAATAATTCTCCAGCTAAATTAAATAACAAGGGAGACAAGGAACATCCTTGCCCAAGCCCTCTCGCAATCTTAAAATCTTCTGTTGGTGACCCATTTACTAAAACAGAAATAGTGACTGAAGAGATGCATTTGTAAATCCACGAACACCACCTCTGCCCAAACCCCATTTTTGTCATGATTTTAAGCAAAATCAACAAATCAACTGAGTCGTAGGCTCTTCTAAAATCCACCTTAAAGGCCACTCCTTTTAGTCTTTTTTTCCTCCGAGAATCAATTCCTTCGTTTTCTATGAAAGAGCAATCCATAATCTACCTCCCGGGAATAAAAGCGAATTGTGAGGGGTCGATTAAGCAATCAATGTGCAATCTCAACCTTCTGGCCAAAACCTTAGAAAGCATCTTGTATAAACCACCTACAAGGCTGCTTGACCCATATTCATCCAAGCATTTCGGGTTGTTCTTCTTTGGTATAAGAGTGATAAAAGAGTGATTGACCCAATCTCCCAGTTCTTCCCCTTAAAGAAATCCTTAAAGAATCTCATAATCTCGGGTTTGAGGTTGGGCCAGAACTTCTTGAAGAAACCCATGCTTAGGTCGTCAGGCCCTGGTGCTTTATTGCTATCTATGGATGTGATGGCCTCCCACACTTCCTCTTCCGAGAAGGGGCTTTCCAAAAACGATCATTGAGCCTCCGATAGCTTGGAGAAGTTGAGGTCCATAGAATCTACATCTAGCATATTCTTTTAATTATAGGCATCTTTGAAGAAATCTTGAACGCTACTCTTGATCTGATTAGAATCCGAGATCAAGCCATCCTTAACTTTTGGGAATTTAATAGAATTAATTTTGCCCTTCCTCGTAGCACATTGGTGGAAAAATCTTGAATTCCTATCCCCATCTTTGATCCACTTCACTCGGGATTGTTGGGCCCAAATTTGCTCATCCTTTTGGTATAAATCCCATAGCTCCTCCTTGTTTTCACCAAGGCTTCCACTGGAAATGGCGAAGGACCCTGCTGCACAACCAATTCCATCTCGTGAATCTTCCTTTCTAAATTCAAAATCATTCTAGGCAGTTTCAAATGATTGCTACTTGTCCACTCCTTGATGGCCTTTTTTGAATTTTTAAGAATGTTCATAATACCTCTCTTCCTTCTGCCCATTTGAGACCCCTGCAGCTCCTTTTTCACCATCTCTTGAAACCCTTCTTCCTCTAACACATAATTGAACAACCTAAAAGGCCTAGGGCCCCAGTTTACCCCACTTTTTTTAAGCATAATGGTGTAATGGTCAGATAACGATTTCGACAAAAGACTTTGAGTTATCTTTGGAAAAGCGGATACAAAACAAATGCCAACAAAAAATAATCAAGCCTGACTTCCGTGGAGGATTCTCTATTGTTGCACCACATGAAACGACCACCCAACATAGGTAAATCTATCAGGTTTTCCTGTAGTACAAAATCGTTGAATAACCTCATCGTATACATGTTTTGGGATCTTCCCGCTTTTTCCTCCTGATTCAGATATGCGTTGAAGTCACCCCCAAACAAAAAGGCATATCAAGCTGCTCAATGAAGGACATTAGTTCCATGAAAAAACCTTTTATGATATTGGGTCAGGTGATTTACGTTGAAAATACTTTTTCATACGAAAATTTCTATAATATTGGGTCACGTGGGTTGTACATATATATTCTGTGTTGGAATCGGTTATTGAAAATAATCAAACATGTCATGGTGGGTGGGGAAAGCAACAAGTAAGAGAGAGAGAGAGAGAGAGAGAGAGAGACTCCACAGTAAAATGTTCAAATGTTTGAAGGCAGGAAGATTTGAGAAATGAAGCGTGATGATTAAGAATTCAATGCATAACTGAACATATCACCACCTTTTTAAATGATAGTGTTCAATTATTCGATTGTCGCCCCTCCCAACCAAAATGAGAATGAGAAAAAAGCCGGCAACAAAGACTTCAGGACACATCTTAGCTAATGACCTACTTTGTTTTACTACTCTGTTTTCACATGTTCCAGGAAATCTGGTTAGCAATAGAAAATTGTTAATTCAATGACCAATGAATCTCTATCAAGAATTAGGTTGTGCACACTTACAGGACGCTCATAAGCTGCATTGTGGAACATATAATCAACACCAACACCGGGAAAAAAGGATTCTGCTTTGTCTATAGCTTCCTTGAGTCTATCCTCTTCAGATGACAAATCAAGGGGCAAAATCTTTACTTGCTCAGGTGCGTATTTACCTGCAAGCATACTAACATATATAATAGAGGGGTACCAACCCCGGAAAAAAAATTAAAATCTAGGACCCGTACCAGTAAGTTGTTTCCTAACTCGCTCCAGTTCAGTTCCATTTCGTGCAGAAAGAATAAGTTTGGCCCCTAAACTTGCCAATTGTTTGGCAAGAATTTCTCCTAAACAACCATTTAAAATAGAATGTGTCAAAAATGTGAAACAGCAATCCGAATCAACTACAAAACAATAAAAGAAAAATGCATGCCACATCATAGATGACAGACAATCAACAAATGGCGCGAGCAACACAGCTAAAACAATTCTAATGTACAAGATTTAAGGAACGATTGACTATCTACAAATCCTTCTTTTTACCTTAGTAAGACTAGATTCAAGATGCCACAAATATTCCAGTCCCTTCACCCCGCTAAAAGAGTTAGAGATGTTTCTTCCATATTTGGAACAATTTAAATAGCAAAAAAGGCAATAAAAAAGGTTAATAACCATAAATTTGTTAAGTATATAAGCCCTAAGTCCCAAAAGAAGAATAAAATTATATACTTATCAAACATAAACATAAAATAATGAACTAGTAAACAACCCCATAATCCATATACTGTCATGCAGTTGAATTTGATGAAGCAATTTCACAAACCCAAAAATGAGTAGCAAAATTTAGTGAATGAACAAAAAAGTTAAATAAAATAAATACTAGTAGAATTCTTACCAATCCCACGGCTAGCTCCAGTAATCCAAACAACCTGTCCCCAGTATTAAGAAAAATAAAACATATGAAAACCCCAAAAAACAGTACAAAAAAACTAATAATATCTTCTAAAAGAAAGCTAAAACTATTAGAAAATTATGGAATTACCTTATCTTCAATTTCTTCACGCTTTACATGCCTTTTTGAGAGTAGAGTATAATCTCCTGAAGTGTATTACAAAAAAGGTGCAACTTGACAGAATTAGAAAAAAACAACCAAATATGAAAAATGAAAGCAAACTAGGGTTTCTCAGATTATTTCACCATCAGAAATGGCAAACTTGAAGAGAAGGGCGGAGAGAGCGACGATGATAAACAAGGAAATGAATAAAAGCGTCAGCATTTTGAAGTTGAATATTTTGTGTGTGAATACGGTGCCATCACACTTTGAATTTATTATGAAGTTGATCATGGAGCCAGAACCAATGTTAGCCCAAACACTGCCGACCCAACTCATCCGCAGATTTCATGATCCTCGAACCCACGCTAATCGAGAGACAAGTCGAGGTTTGTTAGGCCGTATATGTATCTTGGAAAATTTTTGTCTCCGTTCTTGATTATTCACTTAAATCTGTTTAAAATATGCTAAACTTCAATGGAAAAAACTTAACAAAACAAATAAAAATATTTTTAAAAAATAATTTAGATCACGTTTTACGCGTGTCATGACAAGATTACTATTGGATTAGAAAGTTAAATTATTTAATTAAATTAAAGTTATGATTGAATTATAAAGTTAAATTATCGAATTAAATTAAAATTATGATTAAATCAATTTAATAAGTAAATAATGAAAATTAAATTTGTAAATATATTATATTTTTAATTGTTTCGTCAGTTCTTTTATCAAATGTTAACATCAGGTGATCTAATTGTGAGTAAACGAGTTGAGTTAAGTTTTTTTTTACTCAAAACGTTTAAAGTTGAATTTGATTAAACTTAATATTTTGTGAGCTTAAAATTTTTAAGTTTGACTTAAACTTAAAATCAAAAATTAAAACTCGATTCGAAATATTACAAGTCACGAGCTTAAAATTTTCAAACTCCACTCAGAATAAAAAATAGAAGCTCGACCCGAGCTAAAAAAAAATTAAACTTAAAACATTCTCAAACTTAACTCAATTAAAGCTTAAACTCAAGCTCGATTTAAGCTCGAATTCAAGTTTGAACATGAACCTTAAGAACATGAAAGACTTATATTATATATTTTTTAAATAATATATAAATATTAATATTATTTATAATTCAATTAAAAATTAAAAACTTTAATATTTTATTTTTTTGAGTTGTTTGAGAGTTTTTCAAGTTAGGTATCAAATAGTTTGTTTCAGTTTATTAAGAATTTTGAGTTAAGTTCAATTGATTCGAGCGTTAACTGAACTTTGATCTAGTCGAAATTAGGTGATTCGAGATATGTCCGTCTTATTTAAAACCCTTCTTGAAATAATTAAGTGATATGATTAATAAATTTAAACGAGTGATGGTTAAAATAGAATCACCAATAGCTAAGTGGCCATGGATACAATTTATCCTAACAAGAAAAGAACGACGGCGTATTTGGCATTTGATCTCTCACATTTATTCGCTTCTCAACTCACAGGCTTCAAAAGGTTACCATTTCCCACTGCAAAGAAAAAGGTTTCTGGAGATTTCCAGTAGAGGGAAGAGAAGAGAAGAGAGATATCTAATTGAAATGGCGGCCGTGAGAGGAGCTCTGCTAAAGCATCTGAGGCTGAACGCTACTCACCTGCCTCTACTCCGTAACCCCAAAACTATACCCAATGGGCTCTTTAGTCTCACCTTCAACGCCGTCCGCCGTTTCTCCGACGAGGTCATGGGCTCATTCCTCGACAAGTCTGAGGTTACCGATCGCGTAGTCTCCGTCGTCAAAAACTTCCAGAAAGTTGATCCTCCCAAGGTATTTGCTTTTAACTTCACTCTTTTTTTTTGTTCATTTTCCTTGAATTCTTTTGGGTTTAGATTTTTTTTTTGTGTTTATTGTTTGGTTTGGGGGAAATTGAATACTACTTCTGTTAATTAAATTAAATAAATTAAGTTAGGGTATTTATTTCGTTCACTCTTCCTTTTCATTATCCAATAGCTTTGTTTAAGTATTACCATGCTCTTCTTCAAAATAAAATAACAGTGATTTAATTCTATCTGTGGTACTGGGAAACATTAGTTTAGGTTTTGGATTGCTCGGCTCACTTTATGATTGGTCAGGTCAGGAGTAAAGGAGATGCATTTCTCCTAAATCAAACCAATCTTTCAATCATTTGGCTATAAATTTCTCCATTTTTGTTGCTTTGATATATAATAGCTGTGAACTAATAAAAAAACGCTTTACAGCTTTAGTTAAATGCCTCCAAATTTATGTCTTTAAGAGGGAAAATCAATGTGAACTATCTGAATTGACAAACCTGCATGTAAGAAACAGTGGGACGATCTGTTTGGTTGTTTGGTCTATCAAGTGATTTCGTCCCTTTATATCTGATTTCTGCTTGGTTCATTTGATGTGGGTTTCTGTGACCAATAATAAATTGGGGTGCTTGAATGAACGACGCGTAATCAGGTGGTTTTGGTTGTGGGTTTGAGATCAAATTGAAATAATAAATTTACTTTAGCTGCATTGTTAGTTTAAGTTTTTGTAATATTATTGTTGTCTGGCTCATGATTGATATACAAGCAAGGATGACTTGTAAGCATGAGGTCAACCTAAATTCTAGTTATAGTTGTGAAAAAAAAGTTCGATTTTACATCTACTCGGGAAGAAGCCTTTTTAACTTACAAGTGGACCACTGTAAATGATATGACTCTGGTTGTTGGGTATTCTACTACTTAGAAAGATGCTTGTAGTCTTGTAGATTCATAAGATGCCAGCCCTTATCTTAATTAAGCACTATATCAGTTTGTTGAATTACTTCAACATATCTTTTTGCATGAAGTAGCATGGATATGGACACAACGTACTTGTATGACTCAACACAGGCATGGTGACACAGGAATGTAATTAAGACATGATACAACAGTAAAAATATTATATATTTATTTAAATAATGTACGACTCAAATGTGTCTTGACCATGTTGAGATAAGTTTTTTTCCTTTCCCTACATATTTCTGCTTCTTGGCGGTGTACAAAGGGATTTCCTTATGTCAATGCTTCATAGCTTTTGCTTGATGCATCTTTCTGTTAGGAAACTGGAAAAAGTCGTACAAAACTCCTGCTATATCATATCCTTAGGGTTTTCCTTTTCCCCTCGCATTTCTTTTGCCCAATAGTTTTGAAATGATTAAACAGTATCATTTATTATGATTGCAATTTCTAGTGAGATATTCTGACCTATTTACAAAGACTCAAGTGTGAGTGTTAGATTCTGGTATGAATATTCCTGCGTAGTTGTTTCATTCTGTTTAGTTTTTTGTATTTTGCAGGTTACTCCGAATGCCCATTTTCAAAAAGATCTCGGGTTAGATAGTTTGGACACCGTGGAAGTTGTGATGGCCCTTGAAGAAGAATTTGGGTTCGAGATACCTGATAATGAGGCAGACAAGATCAGCACGATCAATCATGCTGTTGAGTTCATTGCTTCTCACCCTCAGGCAAAGTAGAGGGGAAATTATGAAATTCCGCCCTTTCTTTTTGTTTGTTTTCATCACGTTAGACATGAAAGTTGAAACTGCATTTGCAAAATTCTATATATCTCATCCCCCGGACAAGTGCATGTGCTACAGGTGTTTTTTTATATTCACTTCTTTCAACGCTGCTGTTCCCAATCATAAAATGTAACATTTTGGCGACAATTGCTATTTCTTTTATTTGCCTTAGACAGTATTTCATTCTGAAGTAATAAATTAAGATTTTTACTTTGTCATTGCTTCACTAGTTTGAAAACACAAGTTCAGTTTTAATTCGAAAACTTGAAGTATTTGAATCAGTTTCATGTTTGAATGTGGTTAGTACTATCAGCATTTTTAACTGAATACTCGAAATATCAATATTGAATCCATTAGAATCTCATTCTACTTACCCATGAGTCTATCAGTAGTTTCATAACTTGTTGTGGTTATTCTAGTTTTTTTAGATGAATTTTTCACCTTTTCCTTGTGTAATCTCAAGTCTCAAGTAGCTAGTTCTTCATGTCAATAGTTACAGAAAAATGTCTTAATTATGTATTTAATTTATGATTATAATTGTAAATCTTAATTATAATTTTGGATGTTATATTTTTTAATCAAATTAGCTGATTCTATTTCTATAAAAAAATAATTTAGACTTGACATGTGAAAATATATTCTTATTAAATTATGTTGACATTATATATCTTTTTAACATATTATATATAAACTTTGTATAAAAAGGTACACATTCATATAATTTATTAATATATTTTAAATATGCTCATTTTCGAATTAAGACCTTTCTCTTTTAAAGTTAATTTAAACAAATACTTAATACTTAAATAGATTTCTTTAAACATTTCATATCAGAATTTCATACAACAAAACACACATATGTCACGGATTGCCAGCCCATGATCGAACCCTGTTCGTTCAAGGCTATCAGAGACTATCTTTGCCACGTTTTGGGCCATCTAGAAGACCCAGAAGAGCTGGTCCATCCACCTTGGAGAGAGAAAGGCCTGATAATTATTTGAAATTATCTTAGAGATAATTCTCACTAATTGTCCCTTATATTGTAGTTGTAGATTAAGTATGGCTCTCATCCTGACCATTGGTGTAATTTATTCTTAACCGTTGATTGTAGGGGACTCCAACTATAAAAAGAGGCTCACCCCACCACATTTACTCACTTCAGATTAAGGAATACAAGTTAGTATTTACTCTAAACTCTCTATTTTTTCCTTTTGTGCACCCATCTCTTTGTTTTCCCCCATTTCCTTTGTTTTTGTAACGTTCTAAGCTTTCTTGCTTAGTGGAGGTTTGGGTTACTTAGCCGATTTTCGATCTTGAAAACGACTAAGGTCGCACGAGCTTGCTAGCAGCATTCTAGCCCTGTGACAAGTGGTATAAGAGCTTGTTTTTGATGATTTTCGTTGGTTCGAGATGGCACCACTACATGGCGAGGCAACAGGTTCCGATGGGAATGAAACCCGTAATGCTGAAAAAAATAGAGCACCATCGAAAGATGTTCTCACGTCCATCCAGGAGAAAGTTACCAGGCTCGAGGGTTTCATGATGGAAGCCAAGGGAGTGGTGGACATGATGGAGTCTATATACCTTGAAAGGCTGGGATCGTTGGATCTCGACAAGCTGGAGACCTTGGATACTATCAGGGAGGAGGTTCAAGATTCACTCAATGAGTTGGATGTGAAGACAACTGGTCGAGGTAATTCATTGGAAGCCATGGTGATGGCTTTAAGGGAGGAAGTCGAGGAACTCAAGAGTAAGGTTCCGATTCTATGGTAGCAGAGCTGAAAAGGGAGGTCGAGTTACTCAAGATCGAGTTGTTGGTGTGCAAAGTTGCGTTTGGGAATAGCGTAGCCACTGTTGCACCCAAAGCCTTGGGTGACATCCCTAAGCCAGAGAAGTTTAAAGGGACAAGGTCCACCCAGGATATCGAGAATTTCCTTTGGAGGCTGGACCAATACTTTACAACCATGGGCATCACAGAGGATGCCAAGAAAGTAATCATCACTAGCGTTTACTTGTCGGAGGTTGCCCTCATATAGTGGTGACGTAGATTCAATAATGTGAAGCGTGAGAACGCTGTCATCGAGACCTGGGCAGAGTTTCAAGATGAGTTCAAGGAACAGTTCTACTCGGAGTATGCTGAAGAGGAGGCGCGGTCCAAGTTGAGGCGTCTCAAGCAGGAATGGTCATTAATGGAGCATGTTCAAAAGTTTGTTGAACTAAGTCTCCAAGTCCCGAGTTTGAGTGAAGAGGACGGGTTCTTCACCTTAATGGATGAGCTGAAACCATGGGCGAAGAACGAGCTAAGACGACGAGGTGTCAAGGAGCTCTCGCTTACCTTGACGACGGCCAAGTCAATCATTAAGCTTGGCGTCAAGAAGGTGGACTCCAAAACAAAGCCGAAGTTATGAGGCAGCAGTGGTGATAGGGACAAGGCATCCAGATCCAACAAATATTTGAGTGGCAGTGGCAAGCCATCGAATGGTAAGCACTTTGATAAGAAAGATAAGAATATTATCCAGTGTTATAACTGTAAGGGCCAGGGGCATTTGGCGAGGGATTGTCCGTAGAAGAATAATCTCTCAGTCATCAAGGAGAAAGATGGGGAGGAAAGTGAGACTCTTAAGCTTGGCCCTATCCTTAGAACTATGGAGGTCAAGAAGGGTCGGAAGAAAAAGGGGTTGATCTTCGTTGACATCAATGTTGCTGGCCAGAAATTGAGCGCACTAGTGGACATTGGTGCCTCAAAGTTTTTCATGTCAGAACAAGTTTCCAAGAGACTTGGCCTTCATATGGAGAAGGCAAGTGGTTCCATCAAAATCGTGAACGCCGAAGAAGTTCTGATTGCGGGGGTCACGAAGGGAATTGAGTTAATCATTGGAGGTTGGTCCGGAAGGGAAGCCATCAAGGTGATTCCTCTTGATGACTTTGACTTTGTGCTTGGGTTAAGTTTCTTGGACCGGATCAATGCTTTCCTAGTACCTTTTGCCGATTGCTTGTGCATCTTGGATCCAAAGCAACAGTGCATTATTCCAGTGAGCCGAGGGTTCGGAGTAAGGGCCAAAGTTTTATCCGTAATTCAATTCTCGAAGGCGATGCACAAGAAGGAATTGACATTCTTAATTGTCTTGGTGTGTGATGAGCCAGCCATAACCAAGGAAGTTCCCGACGTAGTGAGTCACGTTTTGGCATAATTCAAGGATGTGATGCTTACCGAGTTGCCTAAGAAGTTATCTCCAAAGAGGGAGGTAGATCACAAGATTTAGCTTGTGCCGAATGTGGAGCCACCCGCTAGAGCCCCTTACCGAATGGATCCGTCCGAGTTAGAAGAGGTAAGCAGACAGTTGAAGGATCTCCTCGATGTTAGATACATCCGACCATCCAAGTCCCTCTATGGTACACCAGTGTTGTTTCAGCAGAAGCACGATGGGTCATTGCGGATATACATTGATTACCGAGCTTTGAATAAGCTCACGGTAAAGAACAAGTACCCAACTCCTCTCATTGTAGACTTGTTCGACTAGCTTAGTGGTGAAAGGAGGTTCACCAAGTTGGATTTGCGATTGGGCTATTACTAAGTCAGGATAGCCGAGGGAGATGAACTGAAGACAACCTGCGTAACTAGGTACGGTTCGTATGAATACCTTGTGATGCCCTTTGGCCTCACAAATGCTCCAGCCACTTTCTACACCCTGATGAACAAAGTGTTGTGATAACTCCGTAAAAATGTCATATTTGGGACCTTTTCACTTAATTTATTGACTATCTAAGAGCTCATATAGGATCATGTAGATGCATTTAGGAGCATATAGTTGCATGTGGTGAAAATTTGTTTGCCGTGACATTTTATTTTATAATCAGTGTTGCATTATGGGGAAGGTGTTTTGTTTAATGATGTGCAGGATTTGGGAGAAAAGATAGGAAAAAGGGAATTTCCATGATATGATGAGACTACTGAGCAAAATGTGATTGTCGCGACATCTCAGACGACATTTCTGGGCAGAAAAAGTCAAATAATATATTTTTAGTAAGAGCCAGCTGTCATGGCATAAAAAGTGTTTTCTGCAATCAGCAATAATGGAGGGGTCAGTTACCATCTTTGCACCGACTCTCACATAAAAGGAATGAACTTAAGGGTGCTAGTGTAATTTTAACACAAAACCCTAGGTTCATTCTCCCCTATAAATAGGAGATGAAGCCTGACTTTTTGAAAAAAGACTTTGGAGATTTTTAGATAGCCGCCTAGAGCCTAAAAATTTGGAGAAAAAGTTATCTCTTTTTTCCGTCAATCGTTTTTGCCGTGGCATTCCTCCGCTGACAAGCTAGAGGGAGTGGTGAACTAGGCATCCGAGAGGAGCTAGATCACTAGGATAGTTTGTGGTGGCCGAGAGAATATCCGGCAGTGCACGTCAAAGGCTTTTCCTCCTACCCTTTGCTCTTTGCTTTCATATATTTATCTTTTGGGTTGTAAGGAACGGATTAACTTGCTTTGTGCTTGCTTATTTCAAACCCCATCATGAACTAATCCTATTTGGTAGGAGTTTATTTTGGATATTTAAGATTTGCTTTAATGAATGGTTATTTTTCTATATTATAATCTGTTTTGCTTATGAATTTTAATGCCTTAAGGTTGTAGGAGCTATGAGAGTAGTCATTCCTTAGGTGATTACTTAGTGTTCGAGAGAATGCCTATGTAGCATATCCTTAGTATTTGATAGAAACTAGGGAGGAACTACATAAGCAAGGGGTTCTAGATAGTAACTAGGCCTAATCCACCTTAGAGATAAGGCTAGGATTTCAATCGACTAAAAGGAGTTGTGCATGAGCGATAGGTTAGATGTTAATGCTGCCGTAAAAAGGTATTGCCGAGACATATCATGTTATCTGGACCAATAGGATCCCTACAGTAGCTAACGCCAATCGGTTTTGCCAATACATCTTCAATCTGTCAAGTCCCTTAACTAGAGATAGCATAGGGCACCCTTAGTAAACTCTATCGGGCAGATAAGGCATAGAAGTAAGACCATTCTGAGAAGTAGACTTAGAGTTTCCTAAGTAACTCCTATCATTCATTCCCATAATAGCTTATCATGTGAGGAGTCTAAAGTTCTTATAAGCAAATCCAGTATTTACAGTTTATTTTGCCTTTACATTTTCATTTGTTTGCACTCAGCATAATTTAATTTTCCATATCATATCCATTTGCTA